CTAGGGTCCCGGGCAGGGGGCCCAGATGCTGAACCGAAGCAGCCTGACCTGGGCCTCAGGTCTGTGTGGCCATGCTGGCAACGGAGTTGAGTCCCATCTCCAGTCAAACCTGGTTGACAGTACTCTCACTGTGAGGAAGTTCTACGTGAATCCACAGAGGATCCCATTTACATGAGGCTCAGAACAGGAGAGAAGTAACCTGCAGTGTAAGGCATGGGACAGGAGATCCCGAGGCCAGAGCACAAGACAGCGTGGGATGCTGGCATTGCTGCTCATCCTGAGTGGTCACACAGGGCACTCATCTTGTGACAGTCATTGTAGCAGCAGTTAGAAGTGTGCCTTTCTGCACGTACTTTATACTGCAATGAACAAAAGAATGAGAAGCCACACTGCCTTGTTTGTAGGGAATAAGAGGCTGGGTGGAACCCTGTTGGAAGTCACGGGGGTACTCGCTGTGGGTGTGTCCAGTCCTTTAGGAGAGCAGTGTGGGAAGGGATGTGGGCATGTGCTAGGAAGAACAACGTGGTGTGACAGCACGGCACGGCTGCTGCCCTTGCCTGGTGGACAGGAAGCGGTCACTGTGTCCTGAGGTGAGAATGAGTAGACTAGCAGTCTCAGCGCTTGCAGGGACCCAAAGCGGTGTGCTCCCACACTGCCCAGGGACACCTCACCTGGCCCTTAGCACCACTCTCTGGACAAGCGCTGTGGCTGCTCCTGTTTACCGACAGTAGTGGCCTCCAAGGCAGGGCTCTCTTCCTCTGGGTCTCGCCCTCCCCAGACCCGGAGCTACTGCACCACAGAAACAGGTAGCAAGAGATTGATCATAAATGTGTACCAAGGAAGAAGGGACATCCCTTTAGTATTTCCTGCAGGGCAAGTAACCAAAAAAAAAAAAAAAGCTTTAAGTGACAACGCCTAAACTTTACCCTCCTTTTTGGACAGTAGTTGGAGACAGACTCTTGGCTGAGTCTCTCTCAGCACTTGAAATCTGCCACCCTCTCCTTCCGGCCTTACTGGTTTCTGACAGGAAGTCAGCCACTCTTGCCAAGGAGGGTGAGGAGTCTTTCTCTAGCCGCTTTGTCTATGTGCTGTGACTTTAAATAGTTTGACTAAGAATTTAGCTGTGGCTCTTCTTAAACTTTTAGCACTCGAGTGTCTTTAATGTGTGGTTTTCCATCAAATATGGTTTTGCCCATTTTTTTCCTACATTAGTTTTATTTGAAACACAAGTATTTCTCTTTCTGTAATGGCAAATGGTTCAAATAATGCTGAAAATGAATCACTAATACAAGGGTTTTAAATATGAAACAACAATTTTTGCTGGGGATTTAGCTCAGTGGTTTTGCTGTCTGCTGCGCAAGCACAAGTACCCGAGTTCGATCCCCAGTGCCAAAAAAAAGAAAAAGAAAAAACAATTTTTTAAAAAAAGCAAAATAATAAAGTTTATATATAAAAAAACCCTGGAATCTACAAGCTGATTCCAAAATGAAATGTGTTGAAAATCTGTGGTGAAACCACAGCAATCCACCTGTTTGGAGGGGCTGTCATCTGACCTTTAGTCAGCAGAAGGTGGACTGAGAAAGGAGCTCTCTCTACACAGAATGTCAGGTCATTTTTCCTCATGCATTATCTGCACATCGTCCATTATTTAAGATAGTATATCTTTTTTAGCATTTCCCCCTCCCCTCGAGCCCCCACCATGCATGTAGGGTGTCCTGCTCATTTCTCTTCAGGCATCCCTGTTCATCAGGCTGCATGATCTCCTCACCCATCTGCAAGTTTGCTGATTCACTGTAGTGAATTCTGTATTCCACTTTCTGTACTTGAAACCCCAGAACTGTACTTATTGCTTCTGTAATTTTTCTTTTTTGGGTATCGGGGATTGAACTTGGGTCCTTGCGCTTGTGCAGCACGCAGCGAAACCACTGAGCTAAATCCCTGGCCCAAATTGTACTTTTTTTTTTTTTTTGTACCAGGGATCGAACTTGGGACCTTGAGCTTGTGAGGCAGGCATTGGAACCACTGAGCTAAATCCCCGGCCCTGTAATTTTTCTTTATTGGGACTGTTTTGGTGAGATAATCATTCTGATACATTGTTCTCATTCTTTAAATATAGTATCCTTTATTTCTTTGAATGTCTTTTAATAGCTGACTTAAGGTTTTCTTAAATCAACATCTGATTTCCTTAGGGAGTTTCTTTTTTTCCTGTAAATAGCCTGTACTTTACAGTTTGCTTGTATGTCTCATAGTGTTTTGGTTGAAAACTATAGCATGACAACTCTGTAAATATGATCCCTCCTCCTGTCCATTGGGTTTGCTTTGCTCTCTTGGATTGTCTAAAATCTGTATTCCTTGACATCTCTGCTTGGTTAGCTTATTTGGTCAGCCAATGATTGGACAGAGATTTTGTTACACACTTTGAACTAATCAGTCTCCCACTCTTTGTTGAGGGGCTCTGCATATGCTGGGCAGTTTACAACTCTAACGCCTTAGCCTTTTCTCTCTGACCGAACAGATCTCTCTCCAGGCCTTCCCTAGGCACGGGCATGGCCCTGCACATGCACATGTCACTCAAGACCCCTGGGGAATGCCAGTTTCTCCATGCCCCCACCACAACTCATTTCCTGGATTTTCTCTTGATGTGTTTTGGTCAGCCTCTTGTTTGTCCCAAGCAGCATCATAGGCTCGGACAGCCGCAGGGTTGTTTCCACTAAATTTTTGACAAACACTCTGGAGACAGATTTCCAGGATCCAGATGGTTCACACAGTGACAGTTCTCTGGGGAATGGGGCTTTTTGGAGAGCAATAAACCCATTTTCCTCCTCTGGTGACTGCTGGTTTTCGCTGCTGCTATAGTTCTAAGGCTGTTGTATGATTTTTTTCCCTACTTTCAAACAGCATATATGACAGAGATATGTATAATGCTATGCCTAGCCACCTTATTAAATATTTGTTCAATCCAAAAGTTTTCAGATTATTTTCTTGTTTTTTTTTTTCAAGCAGACAATCTTGTATCAGAAAACGCCTTTCCCAGGGCTGGAGATTTAGCTCAGTGGTTCCACCACCTGCCTCGCATGCACAAAGTCCCGAGTTTGATCCCTGGTACCAAAAAAAAGAAAAGAAAATGCCTTTCCCTCCCAATGAAGTTTCTAATCTATTTCTTTTCATATTCAATCACCCAGGAGTTCTAAAACATTACTAAATACAAGCAGACTTCCCAGCTATGTTCTACTTTTATACTCAAGGTGTTTCTCAGATAATCACACTGTGGATATTTTATCTCAATAGCATTGTTTAGTATGCTTCTCGGTGCACTCCCTTTAGTCTTATACTAAGACCTTTCAATAGGTATTTATATCTTTCTCTGAATGAAAACCTGTTAAAACGAATAGATGCATGCTCTCTCAAACTTTATTTAGGTGAGAGAGGGTCTTACTATATAGCCCAGGCTAGGCTTGAACTCACTATCCTCCTGCCCCAGCCTCCCAAGGGCTGAGATCAGGTGTGCACCTCTATGCCCAGCTTGGTCTCTTCAACTTTATACACCATATATTCAACAGATACTTGGTTCATCAACCACACATCAAGAACCACCATCAGGAAAACATTTAAATCACATACAATTTCTAGCCTTGGGTGTTTACAATCCAGGGAGGAGAATTTTAAATAACACTAACTTGCAACTATGTCAAGCAAGCACAATGACAGGGTGCCTGCAGGAGGACCACTCGAGACGAACAGTGCCGGCAGAAGGTCCTGGGGCAGAATAAGACGTCGTGGTGAGAAAGGGGGGGCGCTGACCAGAGTTGTGAAGGCCTTCGAGGACAAGGCACCTTTGTGGCTAAAGTGCCACAGGAGGGGACCATGGAAGAGATGCAGCTGGGCCAGGCTCAGGGCCACGTGAGCTGTCATGTGCCCTTCGTCTTTATTCTAAGAGTGAGAGACAGAAGTCGAGGGACAGGTTAGGATTTATATGTCTGAAAGCTCCTACTGGCTGCTGGTGGAAAACAGGAGGAAAAGAGGAGCAGGAGCTACAAGCCAAAACTGATGTTTGATTGTGTTAGGAGGATGGATCATGGCTCAGGCTCCACAGACAGCAGCTCTGAAGTTAGGGCCCACGTGCTTAGTATCTGCACAGGGAATGAGGAGCAGCAAAGCCAGGTGCTCTTTAGTTCTCCAGCTCAAGTACTTCAGAAGACAGACAGCCGATGGACAGACTGTGACCACTGTGCAATACCCAAGCAGACAGGTGTCGCGGAGGCCTGGAGCTCACAGGAGGGTCTGCACAGGTGAGGGCAATTCTAAGACCATGGCCTACTAATGGCCTGAAGAACCAGAATAAACAGGAACAATGCATATCACTCCAGTAGTTAAGAGTCTGAGTAGAAGAGAGGCCAGTAAGAGATACTCTTGAGAAATGGCTAGCATCACACAAGGAGTATTTAAAAAGGCCTGGGTGGGGTGCAACTCCACGGTAGAGCACTTGCCTAGCATGTGCAGGCCCTAAGTTCTAGCCCTAGCACCACAAAAAAGAGCAAATATAGTAAGGTATAAAGGCCAAGGGATCCTGGCTTTGAGGTATGAGTGAAGAAGTGGTTTTACATCCTGAGATGCTAAGAAAAGACTGCAAAATATCCACTCGTACCCATGGTGGGTGTCAGCAGGGTAATCCCCAGCCCCCATTCCCCCTCCCTGGGCTCCAACCTTCAGATCCCAGCTTCTGTCCCAGGGCTGACCATGGCTCTGGTCATCATGTACATCTAGAGCCTTACTTCTTGCTCATCTTTACCCTGCAGAAGAGCTGCTTTCAAAACCCGAAGTCTGCTATGCTGGGCAGGAGAGTCAAAGTAAGATGGGAACAAGAGCAAAGACAGCAAATGAACTGCAAATAAAAGAGTTTGCAAATAGTAGATACACATGGCACACTATATCCACTTTCCAAATTATTTGGTCCCACATGAAAAATTTCATTTCAAAAGAAAAAAAAATCACAAGTGAACTAATGTAAAAGTTTTATTGAATAAATACATGCACTGCCATGTAAAGTTAGCTAAGCAAAAGGACATTCTGGGATTGAAATTCTCTGCTGCCCGAATCTTTCAGGGGGCAAACGGCTGGAACTAGAGTGAATGCAGCAACAGAAACCAAATGTACACTGTCCACGCTGCCTGCACCTGCCTGAGTTCTTGACAGGACTGACCTCTGGATAAAGAATACCTGTGAATGGTGGTAAAGACAGTCATAAGGCTTCTTCTGTTTTAGTCTGAAACCCGAAAACACCACCTTTGGACTTTAAGGCACAGGATAAGCAACCCACATGTACAAGCTAACAGAGCTTCACCTCAAGTTCACCTATGCTAATTTTCCCTCCACTGGTTTTGGCTCAAAGTAGAAAAGTAAGTTCCCTTTTTCTAGACAATCCATTTTTAAAACTAAAAGTAAATTTTGAGAACAAAGCAAGGCATCTTCCATTACCAAGCCTCTGGAATGCTGAGCACACCTTGAAGGTAACTTGTAGCCTTCCCCTACATAGTTCAGACAGGACCAGGACTCTCTTTCTTCCTTTGTAAGAGAATGGAAGCAGCTATAGAGGACTGAAGTGTCTGCAAGTGAGGACCTTGTGCCCAGATCCTTGCTGACAATCTGCTGGCCTCACTGCACTGAGGTCAGCTCACTATGAGCTCTGCACCCTGAATTGTGTCCACTGTGCCTAACCGTTTAACTTATAAAGCACCGCAGTAAGTAAAGTATACACTGAGCAGACCGTGTGTCTGGGTGTCAACTCCAGATGTTTAGGGTGTTGGAAAAATTATTGGCATGATAAAATTTCAAGAACTATTTCTTCTCTTTTACAGACATTGGCAGAAGCCCTTCAATAGACCTATTTTTTTTTTAATTAAAAAAATGAATACCACGGATAAGCACCTAGATTTAAGGACACTACTTTTCTCCAGCTAAATGTTTTATGTGCATATATGTTCATGTGTGCATGGCACATTTATAAATTCCTCCCAGAATAAACCATCTTGTATACTGATTGGAAATGACTTAAAGAGAGATTTCGGAGAAGTGTCCACAGACAGGAGACAGTGAGATCATATTGGTCGTTATGATTATGTGCAACATGCTGTGAAGCCATAGATATTATTATAAATAAATCCACGACACACAGCATAATTGTAAGTGAAATATAATGTGCTCGACGGGAGGAGCATGTGGAAGTAATAATCAGTGCTTGCCACAGGCACTTTGGTATGTGTGGTCACAGGAGCTACCCACTGCCATTCAGCTTTAGTTACAAAACTGTATTTCCCCAAACATGTGTATGTGTTGCACAGGTTCTAATGGCTAAGAAAGCCCCCTCTCATACTGCAGCTTAAAATGTATATTGAAGTCTCTTTCTGTGCATATTTCACTTACAGACATGCATAGTTTATGACACTGCTACACAGCCTTACCTCACAAGAGGTTTTGGTGACACTGAAGGGTATAAAACATGCTTTTAATAATCTAAAAAGAAAAGACTCCAAAACGAAAACCATGTAACAATACCCTGATAATAAAGTCAGTCATGGCATAAAATGAAATGCAGGACACAGTGAGGAGCAGCAGGCTCCATAGGTGGCAGAACAGAGCTGGGCCCAAGGCGGGCCTGCCACTGGCGTGGCGGTGGTGGGAGTCAGTGGTTCTGTGTGTGGGATGTGGAGCCAGTGCTCACGGGACCCCATGAGCGAGCAGCCATCAGCTCTTAGGGTAATGCCCTCCCTGCTCACCTCAGTATCTTGACCTCACTGCTTTAAAAAACTCATTTTAAAATGACAGTGTGCATTTCTGTCATCAAAGGCTGGGAAACAGGGAACCAAGCAGGCTTGTGAAAGCTGCTCACTGCTAACACAGAAGGGCTGTACCTGGCTTTGGAAGCATCACATGTGTGTCTCTCACTACTTTATGAACGAGTTACAACAAGCAACTGGAATAAACAGAACATATTTTTTAAGTTAGAAATTCCAAAGCAGCACACATGATTCAGGAATCATGACAACTCCCTGGACATTTTATATTACTCAGTTATGCAGCATGTTTCCTTGTAAGCCTTTTACTTGACTTCCCAATGATACACCTTTATATTTATGAAAATGTTAATACTTTGAACACTTTTTCATAATGGGCAGAAATAATATTTACTAAACTTTTCACTTTTCTCTTTTACAAAGAAACACCACAAAACAAGTCACTGAGAATGTTGTGCTAGAAAGATGAAAATGAATATTTGCCATAAGAATTGAATAAAATTTTAGAAGAAAATATGTATTTCTTTGATTCATTTTTTTGGGAATCAAAACCAGCATGTAGAGATTATTAAAAAATAGTCTATTTACATGGCATGGTGCACCACAGCGCTGTACAAACAAGGCAGCAACGCAAGTTGAGGCGCTGGCCTCTCAGTGGGCACAGCTGACCACACCCTGTTGCACACACAGAGGCTGGCCAAGCCTGGAGGAAACTCAACATAAAAAGTCAACAATAGTATTGGCCAAATTTGCCTAAAATGCCAAGAGTTTCTATAAAATTATTATGGTATGTATAACAAAATACACGAAATTATAAAAATAACATTGGTACGTCTGCAAGAGGGTGTGTCTGAGTGGAGGTGGGCAGGCGGTCACTGAGGAGGCTGCCTTGCATCCAGCATGGCTACGTCACCACCTGGGGTCTCATCCCATCCTCTGTGAGGTCGTACCTGAGAAAGCACAGAGAGCACAGCAGAGGGGTCAGGATCACAGCACAGTGTCGAATACACACCTAGAACCTGGCCCTGCCACTACCTGGGGTAAGGACACTTACCACTGGGTCCAGCCCTTGGTGAGCTCTTCAGAAGCCAGAGCCACCAGCACCTGGGGAAAGAGAAGGGCTTGTTGAAATGGGCTGAGTAGCTCCTTTTAGATCTGCTGCCTGTCTAATCTTCTCTTGTCTTAATCTAGCAACATGGAGCTCTCCTCCCCTTTTGTTGAGACTCATTTTTATTCTTTCTACCCTTATGACTAATTTGTAGTAGATTATGCTTGATTATAACCAAGATATAACCTGTCTCCAGCAGCTATAAAACTAAGTTACCATGAAACATCAGTGGAGACAGTCCCTGGATACTGCTTGATGCCATCAAGGACAGCACTGTAGAAATGGCTTGTTCCTGGTGCTGCTGGCAACAAACATGGGTTTATTGTGCAACACTCTTCCCTGGCTTGATGCTGGCGTGCACATGACTAAGGAAGACATAATCTTACTCAAAAATTAATGGTGAACATGGACAGAGACAAGCTAAGGATTTGCTGGAGAGAGCAGTGTAACCCGTGGGGGAAGTGGGCTGGATGAGGTAATTTTCCTTTGTGGTTTTTACAACGTAGTATTGAACAAAAAGTTAAAAACCTGAAAATCAACCTTTTTTCAACTAAAAGTTCCTGGTATCAGTATGATTAATAAGCCAATAACATGAATACATAAAACCGACAAGAACAACAAAAAATATCTTTAGCCTGAACCAAGTCTTAGCACACTATTTTACAAATAGCACTAACTGCAGGATAAGCTTGCCCTTTTGGCTAATGTGTGTGCACTTTGGAGAAAGATTTAAGTTGTGCTAAGTGTAGTAACGTGTGAAGATTTCTTTATGCTTACTTTGCCGAGAAGCCCTTTGTCTTTGGACAGGAAGCCGCCACTGTTCTTCACTGCTACATCTAGTGTTCTCTTCTGCACCTCGGGGAGCGACACGTTGAAATCAAAGCTGTGAGGGACCAAGGAACTTTCTCTGTAATTCTACTGTATTTTCTTTTAACTAAAAATGGCATTTCTGCCTATGAGATCATTAAAAAAATTGTGTTTTTTTCCTTGTAAAATCAGGTTCTCCCTTTAGTGTGTGTAGGGCAGGAATCTGACTTTTAACTTAGTTACTGTAGTGAAAATACAGAAAAGTGAGGAGCACCTTTAGATACAAAACGGAGCTGAACCAACACTGATTTACTATTTGCAAAATGCTGCCAAAGAGGACAACATATGGACAGACCATGATCCAAAGATGCCTGAACCTATGAGACTGACCACACAGGCAGTGCCACCCTCTGCTAAGCTGGAACACTCAACAGAGTTGCAAAATGTAATATCATCATTCTTTTTTACCAATTATTTTTGTAAAATATAGTACTCTTTCACAAGTTATATTTGAGTCTGTATTTGAGATATTACAATTGAGATGTCGTGTTACTGTAAAATAGATCCTCATCCACAGTATTTGTAACTTGGGTTTATTATGTTTAGCATTCCAATGAGAAGTTCAAAATGATTATTTAACAAATGTACATGTGCTATACTGTGGTGGAGACTCTGCCACTTATACTTCCCGGCAGAGCACTGGCTGCATTCCTTGGGCACTCAAAGGTACTTCTAAGGCCTGGCTCTGCTCACTTCACCACAGTCTCTCCTCAGCCGAGGAAGCATCTATCATACCTCTGATCAAACACGGGATTTAAAGTCTTCTTTGACACGTGTGTTTTCCTCCTCCCTGACCTCCTCTTGTCTGGCAATAAATACATGCGGACATATGGATCAGAGCCATCTTCTGAGAAAGCGATGAGATTTCTTGAAACATAGACCAGAGAAGACTAGATATTAGAATTTGGGAAAATGAGAGCACTGTTGCTTTCAAATTTGCTGATTTCATATACATCTAAACACCAAGAAGCAACAAGAGAGCCAGGGTGTACCTCAGTGGTTCAGCTCTTGCCTGTCATACACAAGGCCCTGGGCTGCATCCCCAGCATGTGTGTGTGCATGTATGTGTGTGTAGGGGAGTGACAAGGGACAGTGAGGAGTAACTGATACCAAACTCTGTGAGGCCTTTCCCAGAGGCAACTTGACTCCATTTCTGGAGTCCAGAGTCTGGGGGACATTCCAGGTCCTTGCTCTGCTTCTAACATGTCTTTCCACCATATTTCTACTGGTTTATCCAGATGAAGAAACAAGAGTCAGGCTTTGGCCAAGCGAATCGGCCCCAGGTGTCCTGTGTGGCATCCTGGTTCCCTCTGATGCCTACCTGGCCATTCACCTTCACCCATCCAGCCCCTGCATAGGACATACCTCCTCCACTGAGCCTGCCCTGCTCTTTGCCTAGGACAATGGAAATGGGCCAGACCAGTCCAGCACTCGTCCCCATGACCACTTTGGGCTCTGCACTGACTGGTGACCAGCAGTCAATGGCAGGCGTTGCTGGCCACTCCTCAAGGCCTCTCTCTGAGCAATAATCTCAGTGGCAAGAATATACAAGGGGCTCCACAATCACTGAATTGAATTCTATGTTTACTAATTTTATTTTCTTCTTTCCTACAGGTTTTTATTTATTTGGGGTTTTTTTTAGAATTTTCAAATGTATTTTATCTTCAATTTGTACTTTTTATTAGTACATGGTCACGGTACATGATGATCAAATTCCTCGTGCAGAGTTGGTACACGTACATAACACATCTCAATGTTTTCATCCCTTCCCTTCCCTTTCTTTCCCCCTCCCTCCCTCCCTAGGTCCCTTTCCCATTTACAAAGGATCCATCTCCTTACTTCCTATTACGTATCTTTTATTTTGCTCTTCATTTAGATTTTGGGATATTATCATCATTATTATTATATTTTTCACATTTAAGCATCTATGTATTTATTGCACTAAATCATCAAAGTTCACCAGAGTCTAAAACCACAGACAGCTTTTCTAGTTAAACATTTGGTGTTTCTAAGAAGCACACAGATTTTTGTTCCATTGTGAAAAGAATGGGGAGCTTCTTATCAGTAAGTGTCTTCTTATAGGAGGGCTCAGCTAAGGACCCCAGCACATGACCTCACTTCCTTGGCGACAGGTCCAAACAGAACTTGGAGCCCTGTCACCAGGCACCACAGTCTAGCGACAACTGCCTCCCCAGTCAGTTGGCTGAAAACAGTCAGCAGCAAACATGCTGTGCTGCTTTCCCAGGCCTCCTGGTCGCAGCCTCAGGACCCCACGCAGGGAAACCACTCGGCAACAAGTGAGAGGATGCTTCACTCGGCCCAGAAGCTTCAGGACCCTCGCCAGGAACCGTCCAACAGCCATGGGCAGCACAGGGCAGGTCTCACCAGCCCCAGCCCCTAGATGCCCAGAGACAAGAGAGAGCCCAGGAAAAGTGTCCCTAGGTTCAGCCACCAGACACTTGGAGCCACTGATACCTGGACAGGTACATTTAGAACCGATCACTGCTGTGAGTCCCCCTAAACAACCAACACCTCATCCTCAGCATATTTGTGTCATGGCTGGGGGTGGGACAGTGTCCTGAGAGAAGTCCTCCTGGATAGGACTGGGTGGTGGGAGGCTGTGAGCATGGGGTCCTGTCATATTCCTAACCTGGACAGGGCAGGCAGCAGGAGAAAGGCAGAGCCCAAGTGTTTGTCCCCAGCCTCACTGGCATCTCCTGTCCTCCTGAGGCAGAAGCCTGTGACATGTCTATTGGTTGTGTGGGGAGCACGTTATCTGGAACAACAACTGCACAAATTATGGTCTATTCATTTCAGATGCCCATTTTTCGATTGGGTCTTTAAATTTGGGAAGTCTGATTCTTTTAAGTTCTTTATAGATTTGCGATAGCAGACCTTTGTTTGATGGACCACTGGTGAAAATTTGTTCCCACGTTGTAGGTTGTCTCTTCACACTGTTGGTGGTTTCTCTTGCTGTGCAGAAGCTTTTTAGTAAGAAGAGAATCCACTTGTGGGGAACTGAGGTTTTGTTCATAAAATCTTTTCCTACGCTGTCTTCATGAGTTCTACCTAACCTCTGTTCCAGCCGGTTCAGCATTTCTGTTTTACTATCTAGACCTTTAATCCATTTTGATTTTAGTTTAGTGCATGGTGAGAGATATAGGTCTAGTTTTAGTCTTTGGCAAGTTGAAGCCCTATTTTTCCAGCACCATTTACTAAAGAGGCTATCTTTCCTCCAGTGAGGGTGTCTGGCTCCTTTGTCAAAGATGAGATGGCTGAGTGTGTCTGGTGTTGCTTCTGGATCTTCTAATCTGTTCCACTGGTCAAGTCTGTTTCTTTGCCAGTACCATGCTGTTTTTATCACAGTAGCTTTGTAATATAGTTTCAAGTTGGGGGTTGTAATAATCCCTGCCATGAAAGTGTAAATAATGACTAAAAGGTATAATAGATAATGTGAAATAGGAAAAAAAGGGGCAAAGGGGAAGGGAAGGGGAAGTGGGAGGGGTAGGGGCAAGGAAAGAAGGGAGTGGGATTAATATGAGAAAATGAAAAAAGTAAACAATGTCTTTGTAAATAGGGAGGGAGAGAGGGGTTGAAAGGAGGGCAGGGGAAGGGGGACAAAATAAGAACCAAGAGAGACTACGTACAGGTGCAGATTTCCTATGGTGAGTGTCAGTATACTGTACACCTACAATGTACCAATAAAAGGATATACAGTTGAAAAAAAGAAATACGGTCTAGTGCAGCCTCATGCTTCCCTGCCAACTGCTGGGCATTGTCCCCACAGAGCCGTATGCAGCGCAATGGCCTGGAGCAGGCTGCCGTGGGCCTGTATGCCACGTGCCTACACCGGACACTGGGCCCCACAGGAACGGCAGAGGCCCGCTCAGGTGCAGGGTGTGGGTGTGAGCAGAGGGGAGCTGAGAGGACGGACCTCTGGGGCTAAATACCAACTTCAGCAGCTCCTCCAGAGCTGGGTAAAGAGGGCCATGGTCCCGGTCCCAGAAGAGTCTGGGGTCTCCTCTTCCCAACCTCAACACTCTTTCCGCTCAGCCACGCACCTGGCCAGGTGCACTGTCACTGCCTTCAGCTTGGTGGGAGCATCACGATAGGAACATGGACACTAAGCCACTTCACTTCCTGACTCCATTTCACTCTGGCATTTCACCTCATTGTAAATCCTGGCTCCAGGAGCCCATGTGGCACTGTCCCGACTGTCCTGGCACCCTGTCTCCAGCTCTTACACAGCATCACATCTGCAGAGGCGAGCTCACCCAAAACATCAGGCCCGTGCTACTCTGTCATTTCTCTGGCACTTGCTGTCTCACAGAACTTATGCAGGCCCTGCAGGTCACAGGATGGGGTCCCCATTGGCTAAATGACATTGTATAAGGGAAGACGGTGAACACGGCCACTCTGCCTTACCAGGTAAGGAAACCAGACCTGATTCTTTCATGGGGGCCTTTCATCAGAAGCCTGGGGAACATTCTGTGTGACCTCATAAAGGACTGGGCCACCTAGGATGAGACTCTGTTTTCTCACCTCTACAAGCGGAGGTTGTCTCAGGACACATGGGCTGTTGTTCTTCATACATGGAGTTCTATACGTCCTGTACGCAGCTAATAAGCTGGTTACATAATGCTAGTATTTGTAGGTTTCCTTCTGAAATTCAACTTTTAGTATAAGAATCCCTTTTCTGCTGGGCTCTTCGTGTGCTCCCTCTGTCATGAGCCTATATGGACCATTTGGAGTGTCATCATTGCTTTAGCCTCAAACTCTACTGGGAATTAATGGGGGAGGGGACACTAATTCCATGACACTCTACTGTCTCATCACAGATTGGAAATCAGTCAACCGAGAGCTTGGCAGGGGTCTGCACAGTAAGCACGGTGCAGGCAGGGATTCCTCACACTCCAGTGGAGACCCTGGGGCAGGACTTCCAGGATAACAAGACCAGGTGGGTGCCATCGATCCACAAATGCATATGAAGAGACACTATGTGCAGAAACATTGACCATGATCCTAGAAGCAGAGCAGATGCCATCACTGCCCTTTTGGGTTTCAATGTTGGGGGCCACAAAGTCACCCTGGGCAACAGTTCAGATATTCCTCACACTAAGGTAGATTCCACCCTTTCCTGGCCTCCACAGATGGGGATACAAGCAGTGCAAGTGTGGCCAGAACAGACACAGAGAACTGAGCAACCCATTACTGCATGAGCAAGAGACTCAGCTCTCACTCCTACTCACAGACTCCTACTGACCCCTCACATCTCACATATTAATGCAGCAGCCCTGTGCCCTAGTGGGCAAGGACACAGCAGATACCAATCCCTGTCCTCATGGAGCTGACCTGCCAGTGAGGAGAGGCAGAGGTCAGGCTTCCCTGAAGAAACAGAGCTATCACACCACTAAACAGGGATTGACTCCCACGGAGCCTTCTGTCAGGGCTGCCTGGGACTGGACTGTCCCTTTCAGGGTGGGGAGCTTGTAGACCTGGCACTGCACAGATTGGGCAGGAGACCCCTGTGTTCATACTGACAGGTGCCCTGGGAAGATAGTGTGGATCTAAAGGCCAAGCCTCTCACTTTGCTGCCTACCTGTCTTCCCCAGGTGCACCTTTTCTGTCTTTGACTCCTCAGTGGAGCTGAAATCCCAGGTGCATCCCCAGGATGAGCTACTCCAGGACCACCTAGTGCCTCCTGAGTCCTCTGATGAAGCGCCCCAGGGTGAGAGGGCTGTAGAATGGAACTGTGGAGAGGATACGGGCCTTGAAACACAGCAAGGCTGTGAGCTGTTGAGTGACGCATGAACACTGAGGCACTCAGCAGTCAGTGGGGGGGTGCAGGCTGGGAGGACTTCCTGGGGCTCTGTTGGTGCACACAGCTGTCTCTGACAGGCAGAGGGTTTTGCCCAGAAGGGAACAAGAAAAGTTGATGATCTTTTCTCCTCTTGCAACTGCAGTGCCAGCTCCAGCCCACGATGATGTCCCACCTGTAGAGCTCATGCCAACTGCAACTGCAGCTCCCTCACCAGCTCTGACCCCACAGCAGGAGCCAGGACCTGAAACCCCTTCTCCACCAGCTGCAGAGCTGCAACTCCTGGTGGCTCTACAGCAAGTGCTATCTCTTGAGCTCTACTTGAGGCCAACTCTTGACACATACCAGCAATTCCCCTCCCTTACAGATTTAGTTATTATTGTATTTATTGTTACTCTTATTTTCCAGAGACAGGTCAATGATAGAATTATTTAAAATAAAATTTAAGCTTTTAGTCTTGTTTAAAATGATCAACTTGCTGCATTTTCAGTGCATTCTCATTCATTTGCAATGTTGTGCAACCTTCACCACTGTCCAGTTCCAAGACATTTTCAATACGCAAAGGTATTTCCTCCCTTCTCCCCTGCTGCTAGATCCACTCATCTTATGTCCTTGTAATTAATCTATTCTACATTTTTCACAAAACTGCAATCATATTGGTCTTTGGCTGCAGAATCTTGGAAGCTACTGTTCAATCTTGCTTATTGGAGGACAGGAAAATCCTAGATAGATTCCCATGACTTCTCATCACAAACTAAATTATGCAGTGTTTTTCCAGACAAGAGAGAAGTTTTGCAGTAAAATACAGAAAGCACCATAAGGAAAGACACAGAGATAGTCATCCTACAGAGGAACAGGGACCTCTCCCCCGGGTGCTCCTCTTTTGTGTCTTCATCCTAGGGTTCAGGTGTGCATCTCTCAGCTGCGGGATGGGGAGTCTGGCAGAGCACAGCTCTCCTGTCATCTCATGTATGCACTGGGGAAATGGCACAGAGTCATCCTCCATCCCTTGACATTTTCAGTGCCTACACTGTGACAGTTGTCTCAGGAACTTTTGCTCTAGACTCTTTCCAAATTTTCTCCCCCATACCAGAGCTGAAGGAAACATCTGCATCTGTCAGTGTCATTTTTTTTTTTTCACCTTGCACATTTATTCTACTCCTTGACTCACGGGATAAATTAGGTCGATGTGAGGTACAAGCGCTCATGCTGGAGCAAACCCATCCTGAGCACAAAGGCTGAAGTTTCAATTGTAGAATCTTGAGAAAAAAGTGACTTCTTTATGGAGGGAACTTGGCAACATGTCTTACTTTGACTATAATTTACATCTATCCACAACATGCTTGTGTGGATTCCTGATGTGTACAGCAGGCTCTGGCTTCCAGCTAAACATGCTTTTAAGTGGAAGACTTGCCTGCTGGCTCAGTTCTGGGCACATCTGTGTCGATGAAGTACAGGTTGAGTTCTCTCCTACCTGAAGGAAACCAGGAAGGTTGGCAATCTCAAGACAATAAAAACACTGGTATGTATTTAAACCTTGCATAAATAACTTTTAAACAATTTGTACAAAAATAGTTCTGCACAATCAAACAAAATGTGTCAGGATGGCAGCAGATGCGGCATGTGGTCCACATTATGTTGACACCAAAACCCTCAACCTTGCAAGGACCTGGGTGTCCAAACAAAAACACCACCAAAGCAACCCCCAACCCCACACCCACGTGAGCCCTCCTCTCCTGACCGGAGTGTCTCCTCCCAAGGCTACCTGAGAAGTGGTCCAGAGGGCAGTGTGGTCGCCACACACAGCAGAGCAGGCGCCCCTCACTCACTGGCGAGGGGCGAGCCGCTGCTCCCTGGGCAAGACCTGCACACGGAATTGCAGTTGCCTGCAGTCCCGGTCCAGAGTTCCAGTGGGAAACAAAGCCCTCCGTGGCTATAACATTTTTCCCTGCCAACACTCCCTGCCCTGCCCCGTATTTACACACTTATCCTTGGACTAACTCAGTTTTTGCAGGAGTTTTTCTTCGACTTGCCCGAACTGGACACTCACAGACATCTCGACAAACTGCTCACAGCCTTCCTTGGTGACTTGCTTCCAGTACCTCAGGTCAATCTGGCAGATGTTCCCACAGCGTTTGAAGGAGGACAGGCACTGATCAGTGACCTTACTGCAGTCTGACAGGATGATCTCGGTCAGAGAGTCCCGGGTGGTGGTGCCGACCGCAGTGAGCAGGCTGATGGACTGGTTCATGACGTGGTTACAATAGCTGAGGTGCAGCTTGGAGAGCAGGGGCATATGGCGGATGATGAGCCGCAGGGAGGCGTCTGTGATGTCCAGGCCTGCCAGGCGCAGCTCCACGATGTTCTGGAGCTTACTCCGATTGTCCATCCGACCCCGGCTGTTATCTGTGGGCAGGGACATCTGGGCGTCCTTGAGCCCTTCTACCCACTGGACATCCAGGGTCTGGAGCAGTGGACAAGTGGAGCTACAGAGCGCGGAGACTGCAATCCAGGAGCAGCTCGCCAGCATCAAGTCTCAGAGCCCAGGCAGCCGGTTGATGAGCCAACTCAACTGCTTCTTAGAGATGTTGGTCCCGCTGAGGTCGAGGGAGACGGGCTGGCGCCGAATGATGCCACTGACTGTCAGGGGCGTGATGGACTTGCAGTAGTTCAGGTCGATGCGAGTCCACAACCACTTATCACAGCACCAGCGGTTCCAGGTCCTGCAGACCCGCATGCAAACACGCAGGTCTTGGTGGCGTGGGGCGCCCCATGGTCCAGGGGCAGCGACTCGGGTGGGGGGGCTGATGGGGGGCGGGCGGATCACGTGGCGCTCCATCTGGATGCACTTGGGTGAGGACACAGAGGGTGGGGGCCGGGAGATGACACGGGCGGGCTGTGCAGGCCATGGCCCAGCAGGTGCCGCAGCTCCCGGGGGTGCCATTGAGCCCCGCGCTGAAGCGGTGGGGGTGCTCACAGAGGCCCAGCGGCCGCTTGGGCTCCCTCTTCTTGCTCTCGGGCTCTGACCTGATGGGCTGGTGGTTCTCGTGGGCCAGGCTGCTCTGTTTTCTGGATCTGGTGGGTGAGCTCCTTGCTCGGCTCCTTATTGGGAAGCCGTTTCCAGCGCCATCTTCACTTTCTTCTTTTCCTCCGAGCCCTCGGCCCCCTCCGTGCTGGGCCCTGCTGTGGGCGAGTTAGAGCAGGAGTGGTCGCTGTCCCTGCTTCTGGGGCCGCCTCAGGCAAATCCTCCTCTGGCTCCTGCTCGAAGCGCCGCAGGGGCTTGGTAGCCAGTGGCATCTGGTCCTCAGCGTTCTTCCAGGACCTCCGCTTTGTCCTGAAAAGCTTACCTTCTTTGCCAGGCTTTAGCTGCTGCCCTAAATAAGTGAGGCCGGATCTCCACCAGGGGCTGAGGCTGCTGCCTAGGGGGGCCTCGGCGAGAGGTGAGAGGAGCCGGGGGGCGTCTGCAGCGTGGGTCGAGGCTCGCTGGCGTGCGCTCAGCTCCTGGGGCTTCTCGTAGTTCCCCTTCCTCCTCAGGGGCACAGTATCCAACTTTCGGCGCAGGATGCTGTCCACCGGCACCTTTGGGGTGCTCGTCCGACCTGCGCCTGGGCGCCTCCTCACACTCACTCCTCCGCTTGGCCGGCTCCTGGCCTCCCTTGTTGTCCCGGTTCATCTTCCGCTCCTCGGAGCAGGGAGCTCGGCAGGTGGGAGGCATACTTAAAGCCAGGGCCACGCTTTTGTTTCCCGGTCTGGCGGGCGTTTGCACTTGGGACACTCCCAGCAGTTTGGAAGCTCGTCGCTGATCACACCCTCTGACTCCTTAACCTTGAGGCAGCCAGGGTGGATGATCTCACTGCAGATGGAGCACTCCATGAGCATGAGGTTGAACTTGCCCTCTTCCTCTTCCACTGTGTCCTCCTTCCCTGCCTCGCCACACACAAGGCACACAGCGGTGTGGGGCAGCACTGGCACAATGCACTGCTGCATGATACAGCTCTGCTTCATCCGCCCGGGCCCCCCGAGCTTCTTCATGTCCTTGCAGAAGGAGCGCTCTCTGCCCTCTGTCCTCAGGCACGCCTCGCACTTGCGGCATGGTGCCTGTGAGCTCCTGCCACCGTTCGGTTGGCAGCCAATTTCACTGTGGAGGACGGGCCCAGCTTGCCCTTGGGCCGACCCACTGCCCGATTCTGGTCCGGCTCCGATTCACAGTTGTCCTCCTCGGCGCTTAAGGACATGGGACATGGAGATGGCTCATGGTGGGGCCAGGTTCATGTGCGCTGACATGGCCGAGTGCGCTGCTGCTGCTGCCGCCGCTGCCGCCACCACCACCGGCCGCTGAGCCCTATTTATTTGTTTTGAGACAAGGTCTCACTGTGTAGCCCAGGCTGGCCTTGAACTCCCTAAGTGCTGAAATTACAGGTGTGCATCACCCTACCCAGCTCCTACAGGCTTTTATAAACACTAAATATTTATATCTTTTAGTTTTTTTGGTACCAGGGATTGAACTCAGGACCGTGCGCTTTCCAGGCAGGCACAGTGCCACTGAGCTACATCCCTGGCCCTATATCATTATTTTAAACAACTGCCAGATAAGGAAAACAGCCCATACCATCATCCTCAATCAAATACAAACTAAAGCAACACTGTCCTCCCACTTCAGACTCACTAAATTGGTATACCAGACTAGTTAAATAAAATTTCTTGTGACTGTGGGGGAAAAGCCACACCCATACCCTTGGAGTACCCATGTCAACTGTGTGCTCTTTTTTGAAAGGCTGGTGTAATACCTATCATAAACCCAAAAACATTTTGGATCTTTTGATCCACATTTTCCTACTTCTGGAAATTAAATCCAAAAAAGTACTTCAAAAACAAGTTCATCATCACATTACGTTAATACAGATACCCAACAATAAGGCATATTACATACTTGCATAAATTACATTATAGCAATTCAAGGGAACATTATAAAGCCACTAACATGCTTATGAATACAATAGAAATGTTTATGAAGTAATGTTAATAACAAAAAAGGAATAAGTTATTTACTGGCATTTTAGTATGGGAAAATACAGGATTATAGAGAAAGACCAGAATCTAGAATTGAATGTAAGACATGAATGACATGTGCACATGCATGTATGTGTCTGTGGGTACAGACAGGAGGCACATGTGCTTGTGAGGGGGGTAGAATGATTGATTTTCTCAGAATTCTCTTTAAGGTTGCTGTCCTTTTTTTAATCATTCAAATAGCTTGATGTTAGGTTTTTCAGCTTTGCCATAGACTGGGGAAATCTTTAACACTTTTAAGCTGTTTTACATACGTTTCTGTATGTTAAAAACAACCTAGCAATTATTAATAAAAGCAAAAATATTCTTCAGTTTGCTCATATTTCTTTTTTTTTTTTGTATATCCTTTTATTGGTACATTTTAGGTGTACAACATAATGACATTCATCACTGGAGATATGCACCAAATTTTTTTTTTTTTGGTACCGGGGATCAAACTCTGGTCCTTGCACTTGTGAGGCAGGCGGCGGAACCACTGAGCTAAATCCCCAGCCCTTGCTCATATTTCTTTTGAGAGAAAGCAATATTCTAATGTAAGGAGAGATTCTTTCCCCAATTCTCCCCTCCTTCAAACTGCTACATGATAAAACTAATTCTCCAAATATAATTCACACATATGAAGTATACTGATTTTATTTGTTTGCTCTCCATCATAGTTGAAGAGAAATTTGGTACTAAAGAAAGGACCAGAACATGGGCTTCCAGTGGCACAGGAAGCAGGTTCAGTTGCTTTGCTCTTGAAAGAAGAGCCAGCCCTGTGTGCCCTGTCTGGGGGCCAGCAGCAGTGCTTAGAGTCCTTTATCCTGGGTCAAGAAAGAGGCAGGCACCACTTACCTGCAGGAGTGTACCACCACGATGAGCTTGTTTCTCTGGGAGCTGTGCCGGATGGTCAGCTGGATCTGCCCCAGCGGAGACTGCCCCAGCATCGTGCCACTGTAGGAAGCAGAGCAGGTCACCAGGTATGTCCAGTGGCACAATACACATAGCAAGATAATACACATTCATCTGGACAGAAAGGAATTAGATTACCCATGAACTTAAACAGTTTGAAATTTTGAGTATAAGTTGAATTGAAGTCCTATTTCACGTGAGGGTTCAATACAACTTAATTATTCAAAATCAGTAATTTTCCAGTGAGAGCCCAGTGTAAAAGGAGACAAATTTGTCTGCTAGATACCAGCTCCATGGCCTCAGCTCAGCAATGTCCACCTCGGCCATCACCAGCTCTATCCCGGCAGTGAGCCCCAGTGCACCCTCCTTTCTACCCTCTGCTCGGGGAGCATGCTCTGGGACAGTGACTGTGCTCACTCACTCTCCCCAAGGCCATTCAGCTACTCCCCAGACGGTGGTCCTGAGAACAGGGGGTTTTTCATTTAAAACTGTTTCCTTCTAGCAAGAAGGAAGAGACCAAATTCTTTTTTCCAAAACAATGGATATGAAAAAGAATGAAGAAAAAGGTGTCTGGGATCAGAGAGGGCCTCACAGACACGGCATGGCCACGTGCCTCCTGGTGCTTTTCTAACCATCAGGCACAGATGGTGTTTTCACCTTTGCCTCTCTAACTCGGTTCTGTTTCTTCACCACTCAACACATTTCTAACAACAAGCAGGAAGAACAGTTTCAAAGGTCATTTTACTTCTACCTACAGGAAGTGTTAACATCTGAAACTTGTGATAACTACACTATTCTCTCTTCTTATTGAAGAAACCATTAGCACATCTATGAACCATGGAGTTTAATTAAGAAACCAACACCAACACCCAAAGACAAACAGGGGCTAGTCAGGAGTACCAGGACACCGACCCCACATGAAAGGTCAGGGCCAATTCTTACACTACAAAGAAGAGCCACGCTTTCTGCCAGACCATCACCTGTCCCACACTAGGAGTTAACAGTCACCCTTTGAGCTTGTCTTCCTGGCATGAGGAGAGGTGCTCAGTAGCTTCACAGCTCTAAACCTCTTGTCATTTTCATTTGTGATAGCTCTTACTCCATCGTTTCCTCATCTTTAAATGAGGAGGTCCTAGAAAATGACAGGTTTTTTTTTTTTGTTTTTTTAACAGTGGCAAAGCTTATTCAAGAAAGTAAGACTGGGGGAGTACTGGCTCTGCAGAGCAGCTTGGGCAGAGTAGAAAGAGGATAAAAGCCAAAATCAAAGTACACGCTGCATCTGGGAAACTCAGCATGGGCTATCGTGGAAAGTTACAATAGCCATTTTTTTGAGACAGGATCTCGGTATATAGTTCAGACTGGCCTTGAACTCACTATGTAGATTTGGCTGGCCTCGAATTGGCAGTGACCCTCCTGCCTTCCAAGTACTGGGATTACGGGTGTGCACCACTATGCCTGGTGACAGGTTTTATTTTGATTTTAGCATATGTGCTGCCGAAGTGAGCACGACAAGTTTTATTCTGAAAGTCAAAGACTCAGCAGGCAAAACAGCAACACAACCCCAAGTTTCTCTAGCTAACTTAAGATGATATCTTCTTCCCCTCAGAGGTCAGAGATGAACTCTGGCCACGTTAACAACAACCCCCAAGGCTAACAGCCACTGTGTATGTCGGATGTGAACTGTGGTGGTTCTGTCATGAACTCTGTTAACAGCTTCTGCATTATATCCTGAACTCGGGGTCAAAAACAGCCCTGTGGTATGTGGGACCCGAACTCTGATGGTGTTCACAGCAGCCCTTGTAATATGTTGGTTGCCTCGCTGACCATGATAAACAACAGTGGGCATGTAGTTACTTTTCAAGCTGTCGCAGCCTCTGCCGCAGCTCCTGAGTGGCAATGGGCAGAGATATGTCTGAGGCGATACTAGGTGTGGGCTCTTTGATGGAGGTGTGGCTTGGTGAGGTCAGGAGGCTGGAGGTGCCTCTGCCCAGGTCATGCTGGGCTGGAGGGCCGGCCTCTGAGGGCTGGGCCTTCTCTTCTGCACCAGGCTTCTCTATGGCCCCGATGATGGGTGTGGAAGGAGCTGTGCTGCTGCCACTGGTGGCTGGAGATGCAGACACCTGAGACTTGACAGGCATTTTCCTCCCTTCTTTGGAAATGGAGGGTCGTTTCACTTGAGCTGAATGTTGGTGGTTTGGAGGCCTTTCTTGCATTTCGAGATGGAGCACCTAGAGGTGGAAACAAACACTGAAACCAGTGACACTGGCAACATCCTGATACTTGAGTGGCTCTAGCTGTATTTATCTACAAGTAGTTATTTAAAACTTGGCTCAAAACATTAAAAAAAAATCCAGTAGTATCTGTTCAGCTATTCTATTAAAATAATGCCATATTACAAAAAGTTTAGAAAAAGGTTAAGTAATCAAAATATTGCTTCTCAATATAAGCACTATTTCGTGTGTTCCTTTATCCTCCTCCATTTACACATATTCCTACTCAGGTGAGAGACAATGTTCTCCCTGCAGAAGCCCGCTGAGTTACAAGTCCTTGACAGAAGCCTAAATCCCTTGCTTTACAGAAAGGTTTGCACCAGGAACCCCCAGAGGAAGGAAGAACGTCCTGAAGCCCTGCTATCCAGCAGGATTCCCCCATGTGTGAGGTGGTGCCAGTCAAGCGGGACAGCCACACCCCCAGTCTGGAGCAGCAGGCAAGTAGGGCTGGGCCATGACCCTGACCAGAGTCTACACTTGGCCTACAGAGACGGCCTGGGGACTTTCTCTGCTTCTGAAATAAAGCAGCGGTAAACCTCTTTACATTCTGTGGCTCCCTATATTCTGCAGGATTAGCAAAAGTCAGATGTCAGGAAACAGGAATACTAGTTCAAAGGCCAGTAGGGATGATGGCTTGGGGATGCCACAGTCCTTTCTAAAAGACTGTGTCAATAACCAGAGTCCTGGCCAGTACAAGGAGACCATTTCCACCGCACCCTCAGCAGACTGAGTCCATGTAGGTTCCACCCACTGCAGGATTTTATTAAATTCTCTCCCCTGAGCAACAACACTACTGCGGCTATGGTCTTTGCCATCGCAGCACTGCCCAGGCCTATGGCACCATCCACCACACAGACCAGCCTAGGAGCAGCACTCCAGTGGCCCCTTCTCCTCCCACCCAGACCAGTTTCCTGTGAGGCTGAGGGCCAGATGGTACCCTGAGGGCAATCTTCATCTTCAAAGTGCTGTTGGGCCCTGAGTTGCTGAGTTGGAAGCGCTGGTTCACAGTCATGTCCTCACTCGTCAGCAGCTGACTGAGTGAGATCCTCAGGCTCCCCAGACTGCACTGGTGCTGCTCATCTTTGACCTGCAGAATTCAGGTTAGAAAATACACTTAGCTCAGGGGGAAAGGTGCAGAAACTACAGAACATGTAGAAAAGTACAAAAATTCTCTTTTAAGAAATATGATTAAAACAAGTAACTGATAATTTGAAATAGGAAGAAAAGGTCCAAAGGGGTAGGGGAAGTGGGAGGGGAAGGGGAAAGGAAAGAAGGGAAAGGAAAAATTATGAGAAAAGGAAAAAATGGAAACAAAGTCTTTGTAAATAGGGAAGGGTGGAGGGGGTGAAGGGAGCACAGGGAATGGGGAAAAAATAAGAACCAAGATACATCATGTGCAGGTACAAGCACCCAATGAGAAATGTAAACCTACTGTATAACTAAAATGTACCAACAACAGAATTGAAGCAAAAAAAAAAGAAAAGAAATATTCTTAATGGGTGTGGTGGAACACGCCTGTAATCCCAGCACTTAGAAGGCTGAGGCAAGAGGACTGCCAGGAGTTTGAGAGGGCAGCCTAGAATATACAGTGAGAACCTGTCTCAAAAAACCAAAAAAAAAAAAGAAAAAAGAAAAAATTCCCTAGGCCCAATGGCCTCATTGTTTCACTGCTGAATTCCACCACACATTTAAAGAAGTAGTACTACTACTCAAAGTTTCCCCAAAAATTGAAGAAGTAACACTTATTTTATGAGACCAGAATTACTCTTATACTAAAGCCAGGCAAAGACACTACAAGAAAAGAAAACCACAGACCAGTATTCCTCATGAATACAGATGCAAAAGTCCTCAACGCAGCCCTAATAAACCAAATCCCACAGCATATGAGGGTTACACAGCATGACCAAGAGTGGCTGGTGTTTGGAATGGTGAGATGGCTCAGTCACAATAAGGAGACAGATCAGTGTAACCCATTACATTGGTTAAATGAGGAAATAACTCACATAGTCATCTTTTTTCTTAAATTCTTTTATTGGTACATTTTAGGTATACAACACAATTACATTTCTCATTGGGAATTGTACCTTTATATAACGCATCTTGGTTCTTATTTTTTCCCCATTCCTAGCCCTCCCTTCACCCCCTCCACCCTTCCCTATTTACAAAGACTTTATTTCCATTTTTTCCATTTCTCATCATTTTTCCTTTCCCTTCTTTCCTTTCCCCTGCCCCTCCCACTACCCCTACCCCTTTGCCCCTTTTCTTCCTATTTCACATCACATAGTCATCTTAATTGATGCAGAAAAAAGCATTTAACAAAATTTATACTTTCAAATAATGACAACACTCTTGGCAAACTAGGAATAGGAGAAAACCAAAATAAAAAGTATGATCAGAAAATTTAAAAAAATATATTCGTAAAAGAATCCAAAAGATATTTTGGCCATATTCTTCATCCCCAGCTGGGGACTAAACTCAAGGAGCTACATTCCTAACCCTTTTTAAATAATTTAAGACAGGGTCTTGCTAGGGTGCCCAATCTGACCTTGAAGTCACCATCCTCCTGCCTCAGCCTCCCCAGTTGCTGGCATTACAGACATGTGCCACCACACCTGGCTCCAGCCATGTTTTTTAATGTTTCCATAAACGACCAACATATCAGACAACTTTCTCAGCAAGACAAAACACTGTCACAAGCAAAATGTCCGTCACATGTGTCTGACATTTGCTCATGACAAAACCATAATGAGCACAACAAAGAATACCACATTCTATTAATTTGTTATAAGAAATCTGAGCTAGGAGGTAACGGTCTACAGAAATCTGAAGACTGGAAGGAAACGTCAGTGAAAATGGAATTAAAAGACATATGTAGGGCCGGGGATTTAGCTCAGTGGTTCTGGCGCCTGCCTCGCAAGTGCAAGGTCCCGAATTCGATCCCCCGTACCAAAAAAAAAAAAAAAGACATACATAGCGATGTGTGAAGTTTCTACTGGTGACATTTATGAGGCAGGCGGCGGAACCACTGAGCTAAATCCCCAGCATATTGGTGACATTTATGGACAAAATGCATTTCTAAGTACTTTTAAGCCATCTCTATTCAAAGTTTACATGGCTGTTTCAAACATTTATAATATTTGCTTTAAATGCATGGTAATTTATCATGAATAACAGTAACCCTCATTCAGCCCTGGCTCTGTAAAATGAAGCATTCCCATCATGTTGTACAAAAGTATGATCAAATAAAGTAAGAACTGTGGAGCTTTCAAAGCTCAGAGAAGCTGACACAACTCCACAGAAAAATCTAAAATCCTGACTTATTTCTTTCAAAACTATAATCAGCCAGGCATGATGGTGCACACCTATAATCCCAGCACTTGGAGGCTGAAGCAGGAAGATTGCCGAGAGTTTGAGACCAGCCCGGGATAGTGAATTCAAGGGCAGCCTGGAATACATGAGACCCTGTCTCAAAAACGAAACAAAACAAGGCCCGAGGATATATATATGGGCAATTTTAAATGAAATAACTATGATATAGTATTCATAGAAAATCAAGTTATTTTTAAAATTCAAGATCTAGTAAGTACAGATTATTTTAAGAATTTATGAAGGAGGCCCGGCATGGTGGTACATGCCTATAATATCAGCACTAGGGAGTCTGAGGCCAGCCTAGGCTACATAGTGAGCTCAAGGCCAGTCTAAATATAAACTATACAGTGAGACCCTGTCTCAATCAACCAATCAATAATCAATAAATAGAATTTATGAAGAAAAAATTATCTAGGTAAAATAAAATGATTTTGAACAAAATAAGACATAAAGATATAGAACAACAAACAATGACCCAGGGCATAGCTGTCAACAGCTGGGCTATCCAGCCCTCATGGCCCTTGCTGTTCACATCTGTTTAAAGACGTCCTGGATGCATGGGGCAAAAACATACTGAAAGGAAAAACAAATGGAGTCACAGAAATGGACACACATTCAAGCTCCAAGCTTTCAATCCCTGACACAGCAGATAGATAGGAAAACCAGGACGAGACAGAGGACCTGGGCAGTACTGCCACCACCCAACATGGCAATGGATGTCCACAGAGCATGTGTGTGACAGCAGGAGGCACTTTGGGTAGATTTGGGCAGGAACCAAGAGGGACAACACCAGGCCATAAAACTAGTCTCAAATGAAAAGGACTCAAGTTATATCAAGTGTGTTCTCTGAACACTATGTGCTGAAATTAAAACTAGAGCTAGGGCCAGGGATTTAGCTCAGTGGTTTTGGTGCCTGCCTCACACACGCAAGGTTCTGAGTTCAATCCCCGGTACAAAAAGAAAGAAAAGGAAAGGAAGGAAAGGAAAGAAAGGAAGGAAGGAAGGAAGGAAAGAAAGAAAAGAAAGAAAAGAACGAATGAAAGAAAGAAAACAAACTAGAGATCTAAAAACATCCCCAAACACTGAGAAGTGAAATAACAGTTCTTTAAGTAAATAACTCATGAATCAAGAAAAATCAAAGAGGAAATTATTAAGGAAATAATAAATCAAAAAAGGAACTATCAAAAGGAATACAAATGAAACCACAAGAAGTCAAAATGTAGCTAAAGCAGAATTTAAACAGAACTATATCTAGCTGGGCATTGTGGTGCAGGCTTCTAATCCCAGCACTCCAAAAAGGATGAGCCAGGAGAATGGCTATGAGTTCAAGGCCAGCCTGAACTACATAGTGAGACCTTGTTTCCAAAAACAAAACAAAAATCAATAAACTTCTTGCCAGACTCAGTAGGAAGAGCAAGCCTCAGGGGCACACCTCTGGCACTAAAGAACAGTCCTACCAAAGAAGGTCAGCAACTTGAAGGAAATGAATGAATTCCCTGGATGGCAAAAATAACAAAACCCATCAGGAAGAAATAGATAACCTATAGCTCTATGTATGTATTGATAGAATTGAAACACCTTCTTACAAAGAAAACTACAGGCTACTAAGTACATAAGACAAACTATTCAGATTCTAAACAAATCTTTCCAGAATCCAAGAGGAGGTGACACTCAATTCACCATGCCAGCATTATCATGATACCAAACTAGAAAAAGACACCGCAAGAAAACAGAATTACAAAAAAACAAAAACAAAAAAATCCAGAATTACACAGTAGCCTTTATAACTAAGATCCCAAAAATGTTAACGATCATAACCAAGTAAGGCTTATTCCTGAATAAAGGTTTGCTAGCAAGATTTTCAAATGCTAACCTTGAAAACCAAAACAGTTTTTAAGTTTATTTAACATTTGAGAACCAACAATGTTTTCACCAGAGTTACAAACATGAAAAACCATATAAAGATCTTTATCACTTTTAGTGACATTCAACACTCATTCATTATTACAAATGGGAAGGATTAGAAACTTCTCAACCAAGACAGAAGGCACCTAGTGCAGGGGCCAGGGTCCTCTCACACCAGCCCTGCACCCTGCCAGGCTGAGCAGAGCGAGAGAAGTCATGAAAAGTAAGTGAAGGCATCCAGATGAGAATGAAAAGTATGAGTGTGATTACTAGCAGACAGCATGACTGTCCCCATGCAAAATTCTAAGATACTTACAGCTAGAACTAAGAAGCAAGTTTAGCATGGTTTTGAGATCATATCAATACATGAAAATCAAATGTCATTATATCCTTGTTAAGAGAAAAATGGCATTTCCAGTATTGCTAAAAAGTATGAAAACACCTGGAGATAAGCAAAGATGTATGTGATGTATAGTGTACATTAAAAAGTATAAAACATTAATGAGAGAAGTTAAACACCTATATAAATGGAATACAATGTTTCTATAGATTGAAAGAGTCCACTCCCACCATAGTTTTAATGAAGTTCTCATCAAAATTTTAGCAGACTTTATGTAGAAACTGACAATCTGATACTAAAACTCATATCGAAATGCAGACTTAGACAACCTAAGAGAACCATTAAAAGTAACAAAGTTCTGGGCCAGGGATTTCCCCAGTGGTTTCGCCACCTGCTGTGCAAGCACAAGGACCTCAGTTCGATCCCCGGTACCCAAAAAACCCCCAAACAAACAAAGTTCCAGCTACTCAAGTGACTGAGGCCGCCAGGAGTTTAGCTCAGTGGCACTGTGCCTGCCTTGCAACTGCAAGGTCCTGAGTTTCATCCCTGATACAAAAAGAAAAAAAAAAGAGAGGGGGCAGTAGGATTATAAGGCTGGGAGTATAGCTCAGTGCTAGAGAACTTGCCTAGCATGAGGCCCTGGGTTCCATTCTCAGCACCACAAGCACACAAGCATGAAAACAAAGTCTGATGCTTGCATCATTTGAGTCTAGGATCTGTGCACAGAGCACCAGTGATGAAGACCAAGGTCCTGACACAGGTCAGAGGTGCAGGACAGGGGGGCAGAAGGCTCTTCAGAAGCAGACCCTCACTTGGGGGCCCTGCATCGCCATGGTCACCAAGCTCATTAAACAGAATCAGCTCTTCAACAAGCACTGCTGAACAATGGGACAGCTATATCTACCTGAGAAAAAAAGAAAAGAACCATGACCCTTCCTTCTTCCTGTAAAGGAAAACTCACTGAACATAGAGCTAAGTGTAAAGTTAGAAATATAACCTCCAGAAGACACAGAGGACAAAGGCTCAGAAGCCAATGGTGGCAAATATTTCTTAAATAGGACACAAAGAGGATAAACTAAAAAAAGAAAAGGGCGATAAACTGAACTGTGTCAAATTGTAAACTTCAGCTTTTCCAAACATATTTTTTGTTGTTTGTTTTGTTTTTGTGATGCTGGGGCTTGAAGCCAGGGAACACTGAGCTACAATCACCAGCCTTTTTTTTTATTTTAAGACAGGGTTTTCCTAAGTGGCCCAGACAGGCTTTGAACTTGGGATCCTCCTGTCCTAGCCTCCTGAGTAGCTGGGATGACAGATGTGTGCTTCCATGCTGAATTCCTAAAACACTTGTAAAATGGAAAATCAAGCAGAAAATTACTGTAGAAAATATATCCAAAAAAATGCTTTTTCTAGGATATATATATATATATATATATTGGTACCGGGGATCGAACTCGGGTGCTTGAGCTTGGGCAGCAGGCATTGAAACCACTAAGCTAAATCCCCGGCCCAAGGATATATTAATCTTATAATCTTATTAATCTTGTATTAAGTAGATAAGTAACCTAACTCTCCAAAATAGGCAAAGGAATTGAAGACACTTCCCTATAGTGAAGACACAGATGGCCAATAAACATGTGAAAAGATGCCCACATCATTAGTTATCACACTGAGACCACGAGATGTTGCTGTTGCCCTCATGGATGAGGACACATGCCCAGTGGACAGTCGCAACAGCAGAGAGCACAGAACTGACATGCTCTGTTTCTCTCCCATGTACACATATTGGTGATGCAGTTTATTTTATAAAGTACGCACAGTGAAAGATGAACAATAAACAAATGAACAACTTTTAACAATATGGTGCAATAAAAGTGATGTGAGGCTGGGGATTTAGCTCAGTAGTGCCGCCGCCTGCCTCGCAAGTGCAAGGTCCTGAGTTCGATCTCTGGTACCATTAAAAAAAAAAAAGGAATTTGAATGTGGTCTCTCATGTGCTCTCAAAATTAGTCTCCCTGTGCCAGGTGTGGTGGCGCATGCCTACGCCAGCACTCAGGAGGCTGAGGAAGATTAAAGTTCAAGGCCAGCCTGAACCACATAGGAAGACCCTCTCTCTCTCTCACACACACACATACAGATACACACACAGAGCCAATGTCTCATTGTACTGTACTCTGTTTGCTTGTGATGTGGCCCACAGTTCAGACTGGAACCGACCATGGCTAAGAGAGGCTGCAGGTCAGGGCTGCTGTACTTCTCACCCACTAATTGGAATCTTGGCAAGGTGTACAGAAGGCACTACTGTCATGCACTTTGATGGAGTGTCCAGCAGCACTTCCACTTTAGGGACAACCGGTCAAGGTATGGAGAAGCTAAACATGCACCAACCAGTCTGCTCCTAGGCATCTGCCCAGCCTATGGAATGGAGGGACACGTCCACACAAAGACTGAATACTCACAGCAGAGCGATTTGGGATAGATCTAGGCAGGAAGAACCTAACCTTTATCAAGCTTTTACTGACAAGTGAATAGATAAGCCAATTATGGCACATCCATCCCATGGAATACTACCCAGCAATTAAAAAAGGACAAGCTACTCATACCTGAAACAACACAATAATTACATGAAACAGTGCACACGAAGAGCACAAACTATAAAATTCTATTTATATAAAATTCCAGGAAATGAGAACAGTGATTTACAGTGGTGTAATAAAAGGCAGATCACCTGTGTTTAGGGAGAGGTGTGTGGAGGTGTATGGGGTACAGAGGAAACTGTTTTGGAGGATATGTTATCTTGATTCTGCTGATGGGCCCATTAATGTGTGTATGTAGGTCATAATCCATCAGACTGTACACTTTAAATATTGGTAGTTTATTGTAGGTCAATTATATTTCAACACACCAGTGAAAAGGCACAAATAACATACCTCAACCTCAAGATCTTGCCGTTTGGGGTTGTGAATGAAGAAGGTGAAGTTTTCCTCCCACACAGGTTCATTGGTTTTATACCGAATCTGGAAGAAATATATCAGTATCATCTCTGTGACATTTTCTGTAGCAAAGGGCTACTTACTCATTAAAAGTGTTCCACAGCATAGTATGACTTTAATTAAACTGTAAGACGTATTTCCTGAGTATGTGCCCTTCTATCAGTAAGTGTGGAAGGTATTCAAAATTGTGAGGTGATCCAAAGCTTCTGAGTTTGTTGGGGAAGTCAGTGTGCCGTGACAGAGACTTCACCTGCTCAGTGGCCTCAGTGCTTGGCCCACCACCACACATGGCCTCTTTAAAGGGTTAACCATTAAATGTAAACAATGGCTTGTAACTGAATCAATTCTGAAATGCTTTCTCTTGAATCCAGAGAAACATTTTATATACTGCAGTAGCAATATCATCTTTCTGCATGTATGTGTGTGTGTAGTACTGAGGATTGAACTATATCCTTTGCAGTGAACTATATCCCCAGCGCTTTAAAGAAACTTCTTATTTTGACACTGGGTCTCACTAAGTAGCTAAGTTGTCCAGGCTTGGCTCAAACTTAGAATCCTCCTGCTGCACTTCCTAAAATTCTGGGATTACAGGCATGTGCCACTATGCTTGGCTCCTTAATTCTTGAAGCTAGCTGCATTTGTTGAATTTTATGCACTGCTGCTTTAATATTTATCTTTAAATACTTATGCAGTGCACCAAAGAAACTTGGGGATTTATCTCCATGAAATCAAGGAAAAGCATATTTGCATGGTTTTTTCAGTGCTCTTAAAAGACAATATATCAACAACTTAAGGGGTCAGCTATCTGAAATGACTGTTTTAAGGGTAAAAAAATAAAAACAGAAAAAGCAAAGGTCTCGATGCCTAATCCGCCACAAAACTGAACACTGTTTCCTCTGCTGGTGACAGGGATAAATGTGAGTATGTGAAAACATTCTCACAAAACCAGTTAAATATCAGCATCTTACCTTACTCTCCTGAGCCTTGTGACCAACTGACATTTGGACAAGAGGATTTGGGTTGCTGTTTATTTTCTTCCCTGACTATTCAAAAACAAACACAAAAACAGACAAAATAAATAGGTACATTCTGGAAACACATTTTACTAAAAATGACACTTTGGGCTGATATTAAGACTCATTTTTATTTACCTCTGATACTTCAGATACAGAGAATAAATATATGGGAACAACTTAACTGGAAAATAACTGCTGGAAAATAATAACTGGAAAATAATTGCTAAGCACATTTGGACCCATAACTTTCTACTATGAAACAAATTTTAAAAATTCTATTTGCCTATAACTTTTTTTCGTTTCTGGTTTTTTGTTGTTGTTGTTTTTTTGGTTTTTTTGGTACTGGGGATCAAACTTGGGACCTCGCGCTTGCCAGGCAGGCAGTGGAACCACTGAGCTAAATCCCCAGCCCTGTTTCTGTTTTTTTTTTGAGACAGGGTCTCACATAGTTCAGGCTGGCCTTGAATTTGCAGTGATCCTCCTGCCTCAGCCTCTCGAGTGCTGGGATTACAGGCGTGCACCACCATACCCGGCTTTCTTTTTTTTTTGATGGAGTCTCACTCTCTTGCCCAAGCTGGTCTCAAACTCCTGGATTCAATCTTCTTGGCTCAGCCTCCCGAGTAGCCAGAACTACAGGCATATGCCACTATGCTGAGCTACATGTTTTGTTTTGTTTTTTTTCAGTGCTTGGGATTGAACCAAGAGTTTGTGTAAAGTTACATTCCAAGCCCCTTTTAAATTTCTTTTTTTTTTTTTTGTACCGGGGATTGAACTCGGGTCCTTGCACTTGCGCAGCAGGTGGCGAAACCACTGAGCGAAATCCCTGGCCCTAAATTTCTTTATTTTGAGACAAGGCCTCGCTAAATTGGTAGGATAGGCTCAAACTTGCCATCCTCTTGCCTCAGCTTCCTAGGGTGCGGGCATTACAGGTGTGCACCACCACGCCCAGATTGCATTCTATTTTAAAAAGTTACAGTGTGTTATTTTGAAGCAAGTTACTTTGGGAAAATTGAATCTTTAAGAACTCTTTAATGTTAGAGTTTTCAGAACTTATTTACTAGACTAACAAAACGTACAAAGTGTAGTAAAGAGAAACTGAAAAACATGGAAAAAGACAAAAGTAAAAGAACAGTGATTCAGAATACTTCTCCAGCTGGAGTAATAAAATGCTATAAAGTTTCAGATGCGTGGTTTGCATTTTTAATCTAGAACCCTCCTTTCAAACATAAGCAGCTATCAGACATCAAATCTTGCTTAACAGCTGCTAATTTTGATGAGAAGAGACTTCTGTTTAGAATTGCATTAATTTAAGCCAATTAAAATTTCAGAATAAGAATAGCAAGAAGCATTCTTTAGTACAAATAGCCAATGGAAGAAAACATAATAAAACAAAACAGATATGTGACATGAGGTTTATTTACAACTTAGCCCCACAAGAAGGTGTAGTTAAAAATCTGTTAGTGGAAATTAATTAGAAGATCACAAAATGTTTTTTAGTTAAATAATTTTAGAGTCAATCCTCAACACTGCAGCAATGACAGAAATAGGTGTCAAAATCATATGAGTATTGGAAAAGTATTACTAGCCCAAACCTACTGTGATAATCTATTTCTGGTTCATCTTTTTGATGTGAATGAATTCTGCAAAATGAAATAAATACTGTTAAAAAATATCCAAGGCCATAGACCACTGTGGCAAAAATACTAATTTTCCCCTTGAATTCATTTTTTTTCTCTTCCTTTGATGTTGGAACCCTAAATTTTAGCTGTGAATAAAGTTCCACTGCCACCATGCCCTGCAGTCAGCATGGAGTACCGAGTCCTGGCCCTGAAGAAGGGCTTCCGCCCTGCCTGCCCCATTCCAGGTTGGGAGTGCAGACAGCATTGCAGAGCCACAGCCACATACTCCTGTCTTGCTTAACTCACTGCACCTGTGAGTATGTGCTTGGTTTTGGGCATTCTGCAGTAATGAGACAGTTCTCATCACTTTAACCAATTTATTTTGCTTTTATACCTACACGGACATGACAAGGTAAAAATCTGTTTATCCTAACTCTAAAGCTCTCAGTAAACACTATCAAATGTAGCTGGCACTTTATAATCTTTCTCCATCCTTCCTTCCTCCTTTCCTTTCTTTCCTTTTCTCCTTTGTGGTGCTGGGGATTGAACTCAGAGCTTTTGCACTGAGCTATATCCTCAGCCTGACCCCTCTCCCCTGCAAACCCCTGCTTTTAATTTTTTATTTTGAAGTAGGGTCTCACTAAGTCACTAAATTGCCCAGGATGGGCTTGAACTTGTGATCCTCTTGTCTCAACTTCCCAAAATGTTGGGATTACAGGCATGTGCCACCAAACCTAGCTTTATAAATGTTTTAGTGGTACAGAAAATAATGGTATACCTTAAAATGGATGACTTTAGATTATATAAAGTTAAACCACTAAGTTTTCTAGCATGACATAATTTTCAAAATGTATCAGCACAAGTCAAAGGCACAAATTATAATGAAACTTTCAAGTCAGATTGTCTTGAATTTAAATCTCAGCTCTTTACCTCTCCATTAGTGGGACATACATGTTTTGTCACCTGCACTTGTGTTTCCATCTATAAAAGGGGCACGATACAATTTCCAGAATTTCAGTGTTAGGCTTCAATGAGCCAATGCAGTAACATGACAATTATAATATATCTATATTCCTGCCTAAAGCACTTTTATTTGTGTTATTTTAATTTTCTCAGTAGTCCCACGGAGAAGATAGGACTTCCGCTCTATAAAACCACAGAGTGAATGAAGCGTTCCCAGTGGGCACTCGGCAGAGCAGTCCAACTTCAGAGCCTTCTGTCTTGACACTGCTCTCACTGGCAGTTGTCAGAGAGCAAAGGATGGCGCCGGCCGAGTGCTGGCCAAGTCCGCCAGCTCCAGCAGTGCAGGTGCAGGCCCTGTGCCTGCTGTCAAGCACTCACAGGCTCAACCCAAGGATGGAAGAGGGCTAAAGCACAGCACAGGAGGAAGCAATCCTTTCCCTACTTCCTTCACCGTTCTAGGGGATACTGTTAAAAACTCCTGTTTCTCTAGGAATTTTCTTAACATAATTACATTTAAAATCCCTTCCCCCAAATATTTAATCCTAAAATGTTCAGAGAAATTAGAGGAAAAAAATAGTAAGACATTTTCAAGTCATAGAAAATTTTCGATAATTTAATCAGAGAAGGCACACTAATGTTGTGTTTTAGGTAGTGGAGCTGAGTTTTCAATATACCTCATTTAATCAGATTTAAAGTTCTGGAATGATCCATCACCTGAACCCGCAGTATCAAAGCTGTCAGGCTGACTTGGAGAGGCCGCTACTCAACATACTGGAAGAGGTGACTTCTTACACGTGTATTCATGGTTTGCAAGGTGTATCTTTATATCACAGATCACCATTTCACAAACTCAAATCCAAATAAGGCCAAGAGGAAAGAATCTGACTTATCATATTGCAGCTTTACAAAATTCATCTTCAGAATCAATGTAAATTTTAAGCATCAATTCTTGGATAAATAATAAGTGGGAAGTTTCCCACCAGATAAGAAGTTACTGTGTCAGGGTGGGAAGGGTCTGCCACACGTGTGAGTGTTAGACACCATCTCTTTCAGTATGTCTGGACTGACTGCGACCTCAAGGGAGCACTGCATTTACCTTGAATGCTCTCTGAATCGCAGCCTTCTTCAAGACACCGGGGTTAATGTCTAATGGGTTAGTCTTTCAGGTCAGAAGAAAATGAATACACCAAGGGTTAATAAAACATGCAATGAGGAGTTTATGTAAGGTTAATGACATGAAAACTTATGAGAATAAACCAAAACAATTAAACAAAATTTCCAAGAATTACAAAAGCAACCATCAAATTCTTTATGCCCAAGATCTTATCTTAGAGTGAACCTTTAATCTAGAAACATCCAAACACATTTCCTTCTGTTCAATAACCCCTTTCTCCCTGCCACCCTTATCCTTTGGGATTTGAAAAATGCAGGAATGAGGCTTTAGGAAAGGGCTCTGTTTATTGCCCTTTGCTGAGTAAACCCCCGAAAAAGCATCACAACTGGAGGTCTTACATGCTGCACACTTCCGGCCTAGGAGCTGTCACTCTCAAGGGTCAGATGTCACAGGTGCCTTTTCCTGAAGCTCACCCTAGGCAGGTACAGCTGAGCTGAACGTGCTTGTTCTTCTAACATGCATCAAACACAGGGAAACAAGGAAGGCAGTGTACTGGGGGGAAGGTGTGTGTAGCGAGCCAAGTGAGGCCAGAGAGCTGCACAGCCTGGAGTGAGACGGACCTGGACCCCAAAAGGCTCTGGGCTCAGGTCAGAGGCTCAGAAGGCAGGCACCCTGCACCCTAGCCTCTCATCATCAATGGGGCAGCAATATACAACTGCATTGTTATCTTTAAGGTAGGTACTACGAACACCTCTCCTCTCAGGAAAATTACACATACAGCATTATGAGCCTGTGAACTTGATAAGGTGACAGTTCACTGACCCTGTAGCTGAATCTCTAATCTCAGTGCACTCTGTGTTGTTCATGTCTCTTGGTCTGGAAGGTTTAATGAGGCGCATGTGCAGGGCCCTCAAAGCCCTGCCTGGCTATTGCAAAGTGCTCTGAAGCAGGAGTTACTACACAAGTCCACAGTTCTAATACTGCCACCACAGCCAGAGAACATCTTCACTGTTCATGCCTGAAGGTCAAGTACAGACTTCATCAGAAGAAGTATGAGAGCAAAGATCTAAGCACCTACATTCTGAAGAGGTCATTTCTAAGTACAGGGGAAAGTCCTGCTATTTTGCTTTTTCATTTGGGGATCTGGGAGGAGTGGAAACTGAAGGTGTCTGTGTAGGTGGGAAGTAAGACAGCCGCCATGGGTGGGGAGCCATCTAAAACTTTACTGGTGGAGCCAGGCCTCCACCTGCCAGAAAGGGCTGAGAAAACTGATCTGACTTTATTCTGGAAACTGGCAGGTAACAAGAAAGTGCTGATATCTATTTCACAGAACATTTTATGTGCTTCATATATTCCAATCATAAAGTACAGTGTGATTTTGATAATTCAGGAGGAAAGTTAATTTTGAGAATCTAGCAGTGTCATAGGCTACATATATCAAAGTGATTTGAAAATCTGACATAAAGTCAGAACTATTTCCTTTCCCCAAAGGAAGCAGTTGTAGACTGGGAAAAGTGATTTAGAAAAGCTACTGGGGAGAGGCTATCAGAATTTACAGCAGAGCCATCTTGTCATCGTACTAGTTTATGATGACATTTTCTATGAAGAAATACAGAAGGAGAAAATCATTTTCTTAAAAAATGATAGCATATGTTGTATTACACACCACTGCCTTGCTTAAAGAGGTGCAAGGGGACAGAACCTAGGAGGTCTGGTCTCCACTTGCTAGTGGTGTAACTGATAGCTCACTTACTCTCCTGTGTCTTGAATCTCCTCAGCTATAAAATGGGGCAAAGTACCTTTTCCATTCCTTCTTTTTAGAAATATACAAACAGACTGACAGTGATTGCAGAAAGCCTTTGGAAACAGAAATGAAAACTCCAAAATCGCTGGGCATGGTGGTTCATGCCTATAATCCCAGCAGATGGGAGGCTGAGCCAGTTCAAGGTCATCCTGGGCTGCATAGTGAGTCTAAGGCCAGCCTGGACTACATAGCGAGACCCTGTCTCAAAAAACAAACAAACAAAAAAACAAAAAAGAAAAAGAAAACTCCGTATCTGTAGAGCACCATCACTAGTACATTCAATGGGCAAATGGACTTTGGGAATCTCAGTAATTATTGAAGTAAACCTGAAGAGTGACTTTCTAGACTAAAGAGTAAGTCTGGGATCCCTAGAACCCCAGAGCAAGTGAGACCAGCCACCAACTGAGAACACCCAGCAGAGGTCCAGGAATAAAGGTTCTAAACATGGTCATGGGGAACAGAACATGTTCCTAGTAAAATCAGAGTAAACAGTGCTCCGTGGTCCACTTCAGGAAGTGAAGTTCCCATAAAGCAAGCTGGATCATGAGTGCAATGTGGTTTCTGCTGCTCTAGAGTCTGTGGTTAAGTCACCTGGGAGAAGGCAGGCTCTCACCAGGATGGTGACTCCTGTCCTATTATGACTGTGCCTCAGTGATTAGAGGGCATTGGATGGCTCGGGCTAAAAGAGGTCTAACACTGCTGTGTTAAGTCAGGAGAAAAATGCAGGCTCAGGAAAGTGTCATGAAAGCTAACAAAAAGATATTTACATCTCACAATGAGATGAACTACAAGAAAATCAATGTTAACATTATGTCTTCTTTCTTCTTCAGAGGAAATTTTACTATTTTCTGGGCCAGTAGCAGCTGTGGAATCTCAAGTTAGTTCACCTCAGGTCAGATGCACTCCCTAATGTTACAACAGTTGCAGTGTTATATTTTACAAAACTGGCAGAGTGAACACACGTAACTGAGACCATGCAAGGAAATGCGCACAGCATGCACACCATTCCACATGAGCAGACTGCACAAAGTTCCAGGCCACACTCTCGCAGTTTCCACCCAAGAAAAGAAGGAACACTGGAGGACTCACAAATAGTGCTCTATAGACTGAGGTAGTATTTTCACAAAATACTAGTCCCGATGCTCGCCTCTCTTTTAAGTAGCCACACCCAAAGTTTCCCTCGTAGATACTCTTAGGAAAGTGGAGATGGGAGGAGAAAGCAAAGAATGGTGGATTGTGGTCAATGCACGTGCACCAAAGCACAGGAAATTGGGTGCAGAGGCAGAGTCAAAGGATCCTGCTGTAGGGACCGACAGGGACTGACACCCACACCCAACAGGGCAGTGGCTCTGCTGGATCCTTTGCCTCTGATGGCCATAGCACACTTCATGCACAAAGTGCCCTTGTAAAAGAGGGTCAGTACATTCACTCTGCTTCTTATTGCTATGTGGCATTACTCAAATTTCAATTCATTGTGACAAAATACTTCTACCGAATGGCCAAATCCTGTCCTGCAAGTTCACCAACTCTGTTTTCTATATCCTAAAATAGACAATAAATTCACTTCCATCAGGCACTATAAAACATTATAATATTACAATATTTTGAAACAAACATTACTGTGATCAAAAGCAGAAAGTCCTAATGTATGAGAAATTCTGTTAGAAAGGTTAAATAATAATTAGGTGACTTTTCCCAATTTGAAATTAGAGCAGAAAAACAGTTTAATTAAAAGACTGGCCAAAGGTTAATGTAAATTCTTTAAGAAAAATGTAAGAATTTAAGAAGTCAAAATTGGTCAAGAAGCCTTATTGAAAGAAAGAATACAATTATAAACATATTACATAAATAAAAAGTTTGATTATGTCCTCCTAACATGAAAAAAATTAATGCTCAGTCATATTTTAATTATTAGCCTTAAGTAAAATGTACTGATGCACAAAGCATGCTTATTTCATTTTGGAGCAAAACCCAAATAAATCAATAACTTTCAAAACTTGAAAGCTGCTAAATGAAACAATTTCATGACCCATAAATAAATGGTAAGTGGAACTGTAATGGATGAAACAATTTTCATTCAAGACTAGGATATAGTGTTGAAAAAGGCAAATCAAGTGATTTACGGCCTTCTTGTCTGGAAACTCTTTATTCACAAACACGCTCATGTGGATGGACACGTGTGATGCAGAAGAATTATGCAATAGACTATCTTAAGGACAGAATCTCATAATGACAGCAGTATTCCTTTTATAAGTTTTGTTTTCTGTTTTTTTGAGACACGGTCTCATTATGTAGTTCAGGCTGGCCTCGAACTCTCAGTGATCCTCCAGCTTCAGTGTCCTGAGTGCTGGGATTATAAGTGTGTGCTACCATGCCTGGCCTGGTAGCAGTATTCTTTCTTTCAACAAAAGTAGCCATTACCACAGTGAAATAAATAATCAGTACTTGGTGAAAAAGAATATAAGCACTCAAAAAAATTATTAGATAATGTAACACAGTGATGACAACATTGCCATACAGAATGGGGTTTAAAGTACCACAGTGGAAGATCACACTATTCTGACATGATCGAAACAACAGATTTGCCTTCTCCAAGGTTGGAGCTATTATCTATAAAACTGTATTTTATAGGGTTTTTTTTTCTAAGAGCAAAACAATTCTGATGCAAACAAACAAAAGCATATATTTTCCGGTTATAAAACATTATTTTGACAGTAGATTACTCAGATGTCATGTCTTTTTGTTCTGCTAGAGTACTCTGACACCTGAGGACTCTGCACACTTGTTCAGCGGCATCACCATGAAATCACCATGACAACCTGACGGCCCAGGAACTGCCAGGACATAGCAGCTCATGCAATAGCATCCACCTACAACCTAGCTACAGTTAGGATGAGTTTGTAGTTTGTAATCAGAATTGCTTCATTTTATTCTCATTCCAACTAGAGAAAACTACCACCTTTAGGCAATTAAATTTTAGTAACTAGAGATAAAAATCATGTACAAAGAGAATGCCAACTTATGTCTTTTTGCTGCTGTGTTTGCAGTGGAAGTGCAGTGAAAACACAGCCAGACAAGACTCATTGAGGTGACTCATGGAAGCTGAACAAAGCAGTGCTTCCCAAGCAAGATCTGCTGCCAGGAGAAATGAGCTACCATTGTTACCTACCGGAAGGTTCCTTGCTGAATCCAAATATAAGATCAGCAGTGCAGAAGAAAGACCATCATTGGCTTGATCTTTGTCAGCTCTGATGTTTGTCAGCACCTACGGGGGGAAAAAGCCTTAGTGGGCATATGTTCACATGACAGTATGCTATTTCTATCTGACTGTATTATTTCCACTGTGCTCAAGAAACAAGAAAAGTAATGAATGAACCATCCAATTTATACAACAGACGGAGAATCGAAACAGTAAATGTCTTTTAGATGACAAGAGTATTACAACTCAACTAAAAGGAGCACTCAGGTGACTTGTGGCTCTCCCAATCCCTACACTGAGCAAGCACAAAATTTGAAGATCTCATAAAATAGGTGTAATGACCTCTATTTTTCATTTTATAAAATTCTGTCATGATAGCCAGGAATAATGGTTCACATGTGTAATCCAGCATTCTGACTCGGGCAAGTGCATCACAAGTTTGAGCCTAGTCTAGGCAACTTAGTAAGACCTTGCCTCAAAATCAAATATCAGGGCTGGGGATTTAGCTCAGTGGTTTTGCTGCCTGCTGCGCAAGCGCAAGGACCTGAGTTTGATCCCTGGTACCAAAAAAAAAAAAAAAAAAAAAAAATCAAATATCAAAAATAAGAGGGCTGGGCCAAGGATTTAGCCACACCTCCCATGCAAGGTCCTGAGTTCGATCCCTGGTACCGCCAAAAAAATTTAAAAATAAAGAAATGGGCTTGGGATATAGCTCAGTATGAAGCTATATCCTGGGTGCAATCCCCAGCAGTGAAAGAAAAATAAACTTGTTATCTTTATCCCAACACGACACTGACTTATAACACAATAATCAAAACTACTGGTATAATTTTAAAAAATCAAATAGCAACACAATCTGAGACATATCCCAGGGGTCAGAAAGGCTGGCCCGCGAGCAGACACTGTGAGTACCTTGTCAAGATGTGAGGCATCCGGCAGCAAGGTGAGCCACTCTAGCTTCAGGTGGAGCTTTCCTCTGGGAACCTCATCCAGAGTGAACCACTGAGGAGAAAATGGAGAAGCTCAGAAGTTCTGAATCAAAACTTCACATTATCTCTACAAATGTTCCAAGTTCTCACTGCAAGCAGCGAAAGTTCTCAACAATGGCTGTAATGAACATGCCACATGCGCTGAATGCTGGTGACCTGCTGCTTCCAGATGACAGGGAGGGCTGGGGCTGGCCAAAAAGCACTCTTAGGCTTTGCATGCATCAGTGTGTTGAAATGAACAAAGCCCGGGAAAAGTAATAAGCACAAACCCCACTGCTTTGAATATAGGATTCCAACGTTCCCAGTGCTGTCCAGGCCTAGGAAAGCCTTCTGCACATGGATGCACATGGAATTTAGAGGCCAAGAGATATACAACACTCATCCCTAAACACTGAGTATCAGTATTGAATAAGTTAACATATTTGTATCATTCATCACTATAAGCCAATTAATAAAATAATATATAGTTGGGGCCTGTGATTTAGCTCAGTGGTTCTGCCGCCTGCCTCGCAAGCGCAAGGACCCGAGTTCGATCCCCAGTACCAAAAAAATAAAATAAAATAAAATAAAAAATAAATAAAATAATATATAGTAGTTTCATCTTAAAAACCACAAAACAATTAATCAAAGAAGGCCCCCAAACACTCAGTGGTGAAAAGAGTACCACAGGCCAGGCTTTATCTATTCTGTCCAATGTTGTGCTCAGTGTCTAGCACCCAACAGGTGCACAAGAACATGTGACATATGGGTGCTGAGCACAAAACATGCAGCTCTAGAAATAGCAGTGTCAACACTGATTAGGCTAGTTAGGCTTCACTTACTGAAATCTTACCTTTTAGAAGCCTCTATAAATTTTTCCTTTTATGTTTTATTCTGATAGCAATATCCCTGCTTAGGGTGGTATCTTCTTGCTGTAAATGCTCACTGTATTTACAGATATCTTTTAAAGTCTTACTGGACTATGCTATGTCTGCTATGAATTCCTACTACCATGGAAACTGCCCTATGCATGGGTCTCTGGCAGCCTATGCTTACCTCCTTCCTGTAGGGCGCAGTTTGTCTGCAATGACATCAGTCTTGTAACCAGAGCTTCTAGCATATGGTAGGTAGGACTCCTAAATTTCTTTTTACTTTGCTATACTAAAGGCCTATACTATTCTTAATATTTGTGAACAAAATGCTGTTCCTATAGTATTAGCTAAGACCCCTGCACTGGGTGGATGGGTGGCAGCAGTGATCTACAACTCCTTTGCTTATTAAATAAACCAAACGCAGAACTTACTTCATCTAAAAGGCGCTCCTTTTCAACTTCAGTAAGATCAATCATAAGACTACAGGAATAACAACACAGAAAGTTTAGAACATAAGACACTCACTTCTTACAACTAAAATAATCTTAAACATTTGTCTATGAAAAAGTACTCTAGAAATGCAACAAAATTCTATATAATTTATCAGGAAATAGGCTATTTTCCCCCAAAAAAGTTCCCTCCAGCTTATGGCCCAAAGTGTCAGGAGAAGCAGGGACAAAAGCAGGATTGGGTTTCTGTGAGGTCAGAATACCCAGTTTGACCCAGCTGAAGCCAGAGCTATAATAAACTAGTCTTCTTCACAGTGTATTTCACACCAGGAATGTTTAACAATATTTCAGCCTATCTTCCACATTCTCCTTGGTATTGCCATTCACCACTGGACTCGGTTACCCACATACCGAATCCAAACTCCCGCTCCTCTGCAGCCTTGCTCAAGCCTCACACAGGCAAGTCCAAGAGGAAACCTGCTCTAGTTCTCCTAAACAGTCCCACTCTAAGTCAGGGATGGAACCAGCTCCACAGGAGCCAGAGTGACTATGATGGAAGATTACACCTGTGCTTCTCTTCAGCAAGTCCTGCGCTCTGTGCAACTACCTGGATCTTGCTGGACCAGGGGTCATCAGGCCCCAGCTGGTCTGTAGTCTGCAACCCACACGGTGACTGTGCTATGACGATGTTGATCTGCGCTCATCCTCTCCAAACTGCTCCTGGCTATGCTGTTGCATTTACAGTCATGGACTCTGTAGCTAAAACATGCGACTCTGGACGAGGCACAAATCTCTACGGAGTCATGCTTTCTTATGCTCTTTTGACCACAATTAATTCAGTTAAATAGTAAAGATTAGGTTGAGGTGTACCTTTCAAAACTCATTTTTCTTCAGCTCTATTAGTTGTTCAACTGAAGTAAACAAATCAAAATTTATTCTCCCAATGTGGCAGCACAATGTAAATTACTATATTCACACAAACTAAAAAAGCTTAAAAACCTATTTCTACAATCTAGGACACGTCTGTGAACTCCCTGTACCAGGGCAGGCTCTGCACATGGCAAGTGCATGGCTGTGTTTGACAGATTCTAACTGCCTTTGTGAAGCCCCTGGGTAGTGGTCATTGTGACAGACAACCAAGCTAGAAATCTGTCTTCTCTTCAGTGTAGTATTTTAGGAATTAAAAATGTTTTAAGAAATCTAAGTGAAACAAAGGTTATATCTAAGAACATTTAAAAATGTACGCATCTAAATAAACTTTTAAACTCATATTCGTTAGTGTGATTAACAGCAGAGTGCTCCTGTGCTTTCCCAACACCACAGGGCTTTCTTCACCTTCCTAAGAAGTCATCTTTGTCTGGATCTTCATCAAAAAGCTCAATTTCCAATTCTTGTCCGGGGTGCTCATAGACTAAGGCCTGAAAAAAAAATCAACGGTGAGTAGTTACTAAATTTTTACTAATACAGTCATCTATTAAGTATGATGATTACAGCAAATACACGTACTTCTTTTACATGTATTTTTCTCCAGCAACAAAGTTTTTTAAAGCACTTAAAATTTTTTATTGTCAAACCACACTTGGTAACTGAGTCATCCGAAATACCTGCCATATAGGAACAGTCTACTGAGCCTGTTTCTAGGCATCTGAATTACATCTCAATGGGTCAAGTATAATGCCCCCAAACCAGGCCAAAGACATTACCCACAGTCTCCCTATGGCCTGGGAAAAGCGAAGACAAAGGACACACTGCCTGAACCCTGACATAGCTCCACTCAAGACAGAAGCCCCGCATAACTGCAAGTTACTCATTTACCACTCAGAACACAGGGAACTGGCAAGACCTAGGCTGAGCAAGGATGGAAGACAGGAGCTGAAGGGGCATGCACTGTTCTGAGGGACAATCTTGTCCTTTAAAAACCTGTGCCTTGGAAAAAAGAAACTCTCTACACTGTTGGTGGGAATATAAACTAGTACAACCACGATGGAAATCAGTGTGAAGATTCCTTAAAAAGACTAAAATTAGAAATTCCATTGACCCAGCTATTCCCCTTCTGGGTACCTTCCCAAAAGAATTAAGAACATCATATTACAGTGACACGTGGGTGCCCATGTTTATAGCAGCATAATTCATAAGAGTTAAAGCTTGGAAGTGGCCTATACGTACATAAACAGATGAATGAAGAAAATGTGGTATTTACACACAATGGAGTACTACTCTGCCAGTACCAGAAGGATAAATGAGTCATTTGTATGAAAATGGATGTACCTTGAAACCATCTTAAGTGAAATAAATCAGACACACAAGCCCAAAGATTGCAATTTCCCTTGTATGAGAAACACAAAGCATAAAGAGCAAACTAAAAGACAGGTAACAGGAAGCAGGGAAATAGAGCTTCCTTAAAGGGGATGAGGATCAAGAGGTGGAGGAGAAAAGGGGATGAAAAAAAGAAATTAAGATAGGTTGTGTATATGTACTGACTCCCCACAAGCAATGTAAAAATTATGTACTACAAACATATACTAATAATAGATCTGAAAAGAAAGAAAAAAAGCCATGCATTCTGATCCAGTGACTTAATGGTGAGGAGCTACAAGTGAAGAAAAGCACATGTGCATCACTCTCGCACAGTGCTGTGCACGCTGCGCTGAGTAACGGGCCTCCCCAGTAGCTCCTCTGGTGGGGAGGCCATTGAACATCTCGTGGGGCTCTGGTCACTGAGACGAAGGATGGACAGTAAATGTGAAATTCACAAAGCAGTGCAATCTCAGTTCTGCATGCGTCTGTGGATTAGTGACCACATCAAACACTTCATAATTAGGAAAAGAAATGCCATTTATATTATGAAAAATATTTTGTCAACTATTCATCTTGATAGCAATATATATAATAAGGTTTACAAATCTCATGTGTTCATATAATAAGAATGTTACATGGTAGGGAGAAAAGGTACAATATCTTTTAGAAGATGGGAAATTAAAGCAAAGAAAACTGAAATGATGACCTAAATCCATGGCACTCCTGTGGGATAAGCCTGGAACTAAAAGCTGATATCCCCATGCAGTGGACCACCTACCTCGTACACCTCGTTCCACTTTGGACTGAGGCTCTCTTTGATGACCTTGCTTTGGAAGATTTGGTTGCCCACACGGATAATTCCATAGGGGTCTGATTTTCCCTTGACCAGGCCCTTGAGATAAGTATCTTTACCCTGAAGATCCTGAGCTTCAATGAAATGTATCCTCAGAACACCCTGAAAGAAGGGCAAACATTTAGACCACTCAGAGACTCATGTATGGTGGATGGGAGATAGCTGTGCACCCAACCCTGTCCTAGGAACTGTGGGGTTGAGGAAAAGACTTTTCTCTCAAGCAGTATGTGTCCCAGCAGGGACAGTATCAGTGTGACAGGTCAGGAGATGAGCACTAGGAAAGATCATAGCATCTGTGTGATGCTGACTAGACCGGAGAACAGACACCTTAGCAGAGACAGAGGCAGCCACATGGATACCCATGGAAGGGGACATGCAGAGAATGAGTCATGTGACATCCCGGAGCCCATGACATAGGGAACACTGAGCACAGAGGTCCCAGAGTGGCAGTGTGCTCGGCTCCAGAAAGCCATGACACAAGTGGCTGACAGCCCAAGTGGATGTCTAAACAGTCCCACAATCTGGTCCTCAGTAATGGTAGCTTCGTGGTATGACGTGTCAGGCCTGCTACTCAGTGCTTGATATGCAGTTACTGTATATCAAGTTTTTGCAACAGCTCTGTGAAATAGTGTCCAGAGATCTGTTTTATAGAGAAAACTAAAACATGTATTACTCATTAACTTTAAAAATAAGTCCTTCTTCTGAAATAAAAGAAACATTCACTCCTACTGTCAAGACAAACAAAGGTGGTAGAGTTCAGCAGGTTAGCATTCTACCCCTCAAACTAAAAAAAAATTAGCACAGGAAGACTAGCATCCCTACAGGTGAACATACTTAAAGCTGGGTGTGTTGGACCATACCTCTAATCTCAGCTACTTGGGAGGCTGAGGCAGCAGGATTGCAAATTCAAGGCTAGTGTGGGCAATGTAGTGAGACCTTGCCTCAAAATTATTAAAAAATTTTTTAAAAAATATATATATTTATATATACATACTAAAAATGTAAGAGAGAGCTGGGGATATAGCACAATGGTAGAATGGTTGCCTAGCATATGTGAAGCCATAGGTTCAATCCCTAGCACCACACAAATAAATAAGCCTAAGTCTGTAATCTTAGCACCCTTGAGGATGACTGAGGTAGCAGAATCTCAGATTTGGAGCCCAGCCCAAGCAACCTAGTAACTCGGTGAGACCCTGTCTGGGGGGAAAAATGTTTTTAAAAGGGCTAGGTATATAGCTCAATGTGAAGGGCCTAGGTTCAATCTTCAGCACTAAAATAAATAAATAAATAAATAAATGTTCTTCTTGTTTATATATATGTATTTTTTCTTAAGTTCTTTTACTGGTACATTTTATATTTTTGTGTGAGTAAAGGTCAGATGATCTGGCTATATATATCTTTCAACAATGTTGGCTTTTAAGCCCCTAGAGTTATGGGTGGCTGGATCCAGTGCTCACTGTACTAAGGGCACAGAAGGCCCACATGACAAAGGTGCATGAAGTTTCCTACCTGTGAGGGGAGCCCTGCATCCTCAGGATGAGACTCCTGAGTTAAGGAAAAAAGACATTCTCTTCTAATAGGTAGTATCACATTAAATCTGTTTAATGCCAACAATATAATTCAGTCATTAAATTAACAAGGTGTGTTATTCTTTAAAAAATGTGAAGATTGGGCCAGGGATTTATTTATTTATTTATTTTGGTACTGGGGATCAAACTCAGGTCCTTGTGCTTGCGCAGGAGGCAGCAAAACCACTGAGCTAAATCCCTGGCCCAGGGATTTAGAGTTCGATCCCCGGTACCAAAAAAAAAAAAAAAAGTGAAGACGTAGCTTATGCATGTTTGTCAATCTATGTACTGAGACCTAATTTAATCCCATAAAAAGTAAAGGCTATCTTCACTTCAGGAAGTAAAAATGAAGACAATATCCCTGCTGAAACAGCATGGACTCGGCTCCCACTTCAGTGTGCCTCCACATTCCAGCCCTTGCTGGCAGTAGAGAGGCAAATCCTGGTCCTGGTGGCAAGCCTTCATGGGCTGAGCACATAGGGAGGGACTCCAACACGTGCAAACTTACAGATGTGGAAGCTGAGGCCCAGTTATATGAGTGCTTCTCTGCCACTTTCCTTGTTAAATAACTCCAGAAGTAACCATATTCCAAAGTCTGAGAGAAAACTTACACAAATCCTATCAAAATTCTCATCGTGTCAGCAGTCTCATCTGGCTTGTTGCTAAGAACTGCCACATTTTAATAAAAACACAAGCAATATATACCTTCTGAAATAACCAGGCTGTATGCTCACAGCTATCATTACGACTTTCAGGAGCATCTGCAGAATCAGCCCTACCAAAACCTGGAGGAATGCAGCTAAGGCTTAAGAACCGCCCCACGCTGTGGGGGCAGAGGCAATGAACAGCTAATAGTGCACTGAGATGCTGTCAGGAGAAACACAAGATGTTACAACACCCCTGCATAACCCCCCATGGAGTTGAAATGGTGCTCAGTATGTTTTCCAGTATCGCTAGATGCTACAGCACACTTACCTTTGGTATAGGAAACCGCAACTGATCTATTTGAACTTCACTGACAAGGGGAACAGTGATTCGATTGGGAAGCACCAGATAGTTTGATATTATATCCGAGATGATAGTATCAGATAAGCCACTGTTAGTTGGGAAGTAAAAGAAAAACAAAAAACAGGCATCAATACTTGCTATCATCTTTAACAACAAACATACCACAAACATGACATCCATTGACAGAATACTGTAGCTGTCTAAATTATCCAAAACAGTATTTAAAGCTAACATTCCTTTTCTTTTTTCTAATACTGGGGATTGAATCCAGGCCTTCACACTAAGCTACATCCACAGCCCTTTATTTAATTTTGTGACAGGCTCGAACTTGCCATCCTCCTGCCTCTGCCTCCCAGAGTCCTGGGATTACAGGCAGGTATTTCAGTATTTCAACTGCAATACTGCTAAGGTTTGAGGTAGAATTTATTCTTCAAACACAAAGTAAATTTCTAGCCACATTTAATGATTTCCTAAATAATTTTTCACTCAGTCCTCAAAACTTAACCATAGATTTAACATTGAACAACTAAGATACATTTCGTTAAATTTCTTTGAAACATATTTTAAACATGTGAAACTGCAGAGAACAGTATAACATCCATTAACCCATTCCTTGTTTATACACAAATTTCTCTTTATTGTTGTATGCTAGCTCCTAATGAAATACTCGTTTGCTTTTTTCATATTAATACTAATAATTTGGTGCTACTATATTTTTACATACCACTAAACACCTAATTTAAAATTTTAATAAAAATGCTTAAAGGAATTGTTCACCTCTTCAAGGTAAATGCGAGAATTAAATACTGTTCACATGACAACTTTTGAAAGCATACAATGCAAGTTTCATTGCTATAGAACAGCTTTGCCTGAACTGTGAAGTTCAAAAAGAACCACAGTTCTTGCCAGTTAGATGCGGACTCGCTAACACACACATGTTTAAGAGTGCCCACTGAGAGGAATCATTATCATCTCCACTCACCACATGATAACTGAGCACCTGCTGCCAGACAGGCATCCACCTGTGATGACAAGACAGACTTAACAGGCCTCTCTGTTTAACTGGAGAAAAAGATCGTAAAGCTTCCCAACATGGAAGCCACACCCAGAGCTGCTGTCTGAGCCCAGGTGAGCTCCCTGAAAAACGGTCAGGTGGGCCAAGTGTGTTCTCACTTCCACATTTTCCTCCAGGCCTGCCTCTCCCCTTACACCCCCGCACGCTCCTGACCACTGGTGCACCACTGCTCCTGGCCTTCCTCGCAGTGTCACCCAGCTGGGCGACTTTCCTGGGAAGCACTTTTCCCAGTCTGTCCTCCAGAACTGTTTGTTCCTGTTCCTCACCTTCCTTCTGCCTCTCAGAGCCTTCAGCTCTCCACCTTGTACCTATGCCCTAGAGCCCTTCACCAAGACAAATCATTCAGGTTCTTTTGTAACCAGTAAGCACAATGTACAGGTGCCCATTTTGTAAAGCCTAGGGCAAACTTCATTGTATTGGCTCCTAGCTATTCAATATGTATCTCTTTGTTGGATATTTAAAACATCAGGCTTGTTATGGCTCTGATTTGATAAAGTCTTTAAATGAGAACCAGAAGTCACAATTTTATTACATAAAACTTATATAGTAGAGGTTGCTACATTTTTATTACCCTAAATTTACATGATTATATATAAATTACATATTATATGAACATATATAACTTTGTTTTAGAGATATTCTATAGAGCCCTTTTATACCTCAGACACAATTTTTAAGTGATGTATTTTTATCTCATATGTAATACATGTAAGTACATATATATTCAATGATAGAATTCTATATATGGGAATATATACTTTTATATTAGATAGGTAAAATCTGTATCTATAAATTAATATCTAGAAACTACTATTACATGAAAAAAACCTGCCCACGTATAATGATTGAATAAAATGAAGCTATATGTGTATCGATATATATACATGTATGTCTATTGTGTGTATTCATGTATATCTCTCTTTTTTTTTTTTTTTGGTACTGGAGATCAAACTCAGGACCTTGTGTGGCAGCACCACTGATCTAAATCCCTGGCCCCATATATCTCTTTTAAATACAACAGTATGGGGCCAACTGCAGCCTTGCCAGGACACAGAACACCCTGTCTGAGGTGACCCTTCCAGGTGGTTAACACGATGTGAACAGCAGAGTAGATGCTCAATAGACTATTTCAGTCCTCCTATGACACTGAAGGAAGCCAAGAGAATGAACTCTGTCTACACCAAACTGCAGACTTACCTGTCATTTCTTCCTGGCTTACCTTTATCTTCTCTGTTATGCCCAGTGGAAGATTTCCCTTTTGGGGGATACCCCATTCTGGGGTTTTGTCTTCTCCAGGGCCACACATGAGACCCAAACCTAATCATCAGAATCATGGGAATCTGTCCAACATAGGTGGACATACACGAGCTAGCCCTGGCACTTTTGCTGGAACTAGTGGGAAAAGTCCTTTTCCAATCAATGCAGTTTGCAGAGCAGAAGCTGGCAGGTGCTGCTGTCATGGACAGAGCCTTCCTGAAGACAAGCTGCAGGGATTCATCCTATCTGAGGCAATGACTGCACAGAGAGCCCTGTAGTGTCCCTGGGCACCAATACTTGTCTGTGCTTCTGTGAGGGACCGGGTGTACCTCAAAGCAAGAACTCAGTCAGTGCTATGTGTCTGCCGAGTGACCAAACTGCCTTAAAAATATCTCTTACTGGACTGTGGATGTAGCTTCATGGTAGAACATCTGCCTACCATGTGTAAGGTCCTGGGTTCAATCACCAGCAGTGAAAAAATATTATATACTTAGCTCTTTAAGACCATCCAAGTTGGTGTAATGGGTTAAATATGAAGTATGCCCCCAAAGACTCAGGTAGTAAGGGCCTGGTCCCCAAGGAAGCAAAAGGTGGGGCCTGGAGAGGGACTGAATCATAAGAGTGCTAATCTCAAGCTGGAACAATCCAGTGATGAGTCTTTGCTGAGTGGGCTGTCAGGAGGTGGGCCCAACCAGAGGAAATGGGTCACTAGGTGGGTACATTCTTGTTCCCTGCCCCTTTCTGTTTGTCTCTTTCCTCTCACTCTGCTTCCTGGCAGCCACAAGGTCAGCTGCTTTCCTCCACTATGATGCTCTGCCTTTTCACAGGCCTAAAGTAATGGAGCCACTCAACCATGGACTGAAACTCCTAAAACTGTGAGTCACAAAAACCTTTTCTCCTTTAAATTGTACATGCCAGGTATTTGTTCACAGTGATGAAAAGCTAACATGGTTGGGTTTATTGTCTGTAACCACAAATCCTAAAGAACATTTTAACAAATCTTATTTATTTATTTATTTATTTGAGACAGGGTCTCACTGTGTAGTTTGGGCTGGCCTGGAACTCACTATGTGGCCCATGCTGGCTCAAACTTGCTGCAATCCTCCTGCCTCAGTCTCCTAAGTGCTGTAATTACAGGTGTGCACCACCACACCTGGCTTAGCAAATCTTTTAAAGTTGTACTTTTCTTTCTACAGATCTCTTAAAGAAAACAGTATTTTTCTATATTCATTAAATCATAGTGCCTAAAATACTTTTTATTTATGATGATGCCTCAGGTTGCTAAAGTTATCATTTTTCCTAATAATGAAACAAATTAAAACTTTTTCTAATGGCCATTTCAGAGGCAGAAACAAACATACAGGAGTAGAAAACTTTGTTTAAAACTAAACTTTCATAACTTAATTTCCAAACCATTTTAGGAAAAGATATCCATAGATAAGTCAAATACTAGAAACACGTAACTTTAGCCAATAACTAATGCATGTTAACCTTCAAATAGTAACATCAGTAAAGGTAAATTCAGAAGGTTATAATTTCAAAACTTCCTGTTGGGTGGGGCCAGGGAATTAAGTTCAGTGGTTCTGCCGCCTGCCTCGAAAGCACAAGGTCCGGAATTTGATCCCTGGTACAAAACAAAACAAAACAAAACAAAACAAAACAAAACAAAACAAAACAAAACAAAACAAAACTTCCTGTTTGGCCGTGGCCTGCCAAGTCTGTACATCTCAGCTGAATGGACTGTGACAGTGAGGACATACCCTTCACAGTGTCAGGTGACTGCTGCAGGCATTTTTCTTAGTTTTTCGATACTAAGTTATACAAATGGAGACCAGACTCCCAGTGGGATGGCAGAGAAACTTCACACCCAGGCTCCATTCTGACACCATTCATTTCAGAGAGGCAGCTAAGGGAAGGAGCAGCTCAGGAAGAGCATAGGGTTAGGTTTTAAACACAGATTCATTTTCCAAGTTTTCTCTATTATTTATAAGAAAACAAAACCAAATTAAAATTTTAATTTACAGAATGTGACAAGGCTAGTACTTTTCTAAAATGCTACCACTAGGAAAATACCTTGAGAGGAACAAAAAGCAAAGGCAGAACACAGTGCTCTAAGACACTCCTGAAACCATTCTACTTTTGTTCATTTGGACCAAGCAGTTTTATACATAGGAGAAAAAACTCAAATCTCCTCTTTGCTGGTTTCTCAGGGGAGCCTGGGGAAGGCACTAGTTCTACTTGGTAGACATAAGTCTTGTCCTTCACTTTTCACATGTTATTTTTAGGACCCTTAAAAAGGCATAACCCCACTCCTAGCCTGTGCAAGGGCCCACATCACTCACTTCAATCCAGGGATGTCCAGAAGATTGGTCAGTCCCGTCCAGTTAATCTCTAAAAGCTGTTTTTTAAAAAGAGTAAAAATAATTATCTAAGCTGTTTCTAGTTATCAATTCAAATACACACAGGTTCTTTTTTATGTAGAACAAAAAAACCGGTTACATAATACTGTCTTATACCTTTTTTAAGGCTATCTTTCCTACTGGTAAATGGAGACCTGCTTCTGCTTTGGTTTTTTTTTTTTTGGTACCGGGGATCAAACTCGGGTCTTTGCACTTGCGCAGCAGGCGGTGAAACCACTGAGCTAAATCCCCGGCCCCTGCATTTGTTTTTTGATAATGCTATAGTTTTCACTAGTAAAGTCATACAATAATTTATTTACCCATCCACTTATGGACAGACACTTAGAATATCTTCAATATCTCTCATTATAAGTCAGAGATCACCTTTTTACATACATGCTCTTGCATACATATGCAGACTAGCATTCAAAAAGTTGAATTTAACACATTAGCAGCGGGGTCATATAATCTGTATGCCTCGCTGCTGGGCCACGTGTACCACTAGAAGTACATGTATGACTGTTCCATCGGGCGGCTTGTGCCACCTGATGGGACAGTCGTGCATGTAACACTGGTGGTTCAAGCCAGCGAGAATGTGTTATGGTCAAGATTTATGTTTACTTTCAGTGTTTGAAAATGATACCTAACTGGCCTCTAAACACACTACACGGATTTACATTCTCACAAAACTGTATAGAAATGTCCTCTTCCCAAACTTCATCAAGACATATTACTAAAATTCCATCTTACTCCAGAAAGAATGGTCATCATCAAGGAATAAAATAATAGCAAATGCTGGTGAGCCTGGGGGGGAAAGGAAGGCTTCTACATGGTTGGTGGGAATATAAACCAGTAAAACCACTATGGAAATCAGTCTGGAGAGTCCTCAAAAACTAAACATAGAAATTCCATTTGACTTAGCTATTCCCTACTAGGTATCTTCCCCAAACAGTTAAAGACAGTGATACATGCATACTCATGTTTATAGCAGCACAATTCAAAATGGCTAAATCTCAGAAGCAGTTTATATGGTCATCAAGAGATGAATAAAGACAATAGAATATTTACATACAATGGAGTACTACTGTCTTAAAAAAGGATAAGCTTCAGTCATTTGTTAAAAAATGGATGCCTCCTGAGATCATGTTAAGTGAAATAAATCAGACACACAGCCTAAATATTGCATGGTTTCTCTTGAGATACCCAAAATATAAACAAAGAGCAAAATAAAAGATAAATAAGAAGACAGGGCCAGGGACTTAGCTCAGTAGTTTCACCGCCTGCTGTGCAAATGCAAAGACCCAAGTTCGATCCCTGGTACCAAAAAAAAAAAAAAGACAGATCTTTCTCAAATGGGAAGACGATCAAGAAACAGAGAGAAAGGGAGAGGAGAAAGGGATTTTTAAAGAAGAATTAAGATGTGTTATGTGCATGTACCAAGTTCCCATAAGGAATGTAAACATATACTCCAAAATGTACTAATAAAAAAATTTTTTAAAACATTAAAAACCAGCCCATCTGGCAATAAAAAAAAAAAAAGATACTTTACCACTGTTTTAATTTGCATTTTCCAGCTGGGCATGGTAGCATATTCCTGTAATCCCAGTACTGGGGAGGCTGAGGGAGGAGGATGGATCACTGAGAATTTGAGGCCAGCCTTGGCTACAGTGAGTTCAAGGCCAGCCTGAACTGCACAGTGAGATTTTGTCTCATCAAAAACAACTAATTTGCACTTTCCTATAAGTGGAACATATTTCACCCATTTATTTCACATTTGTACTTATTTATCTCAAAGTAATTCCCACATAGTTAATATCCTATTAAGTAGACATCAACCAGTTAAAAACGTTGATTAGAAATATTGCTTTCTGGAAAAAAAAAAGACTGCTTTTCCTATCAAAACAGACACTGCAGGCTGGGGATTTAGCTCAGAGGTTCCACTGCCTGCCCTGTCCCAAGCTCGATCCCCGGTACCAAATTAAAAAAAAAAAATAGACACTGCACATAATGCAATTATGTTGGAGACCAGCCATGATATGTATAGATTGGTGAGGGCCAGATTACAGGCCCACAGTCCTGAGGCCCAAGGCCTGGGGAACAGAGAAGTATGCTTCTTGCCTGTGTGGGAAGGCCAAAAACACAGTGCTCTGAGGCAAGATAACATCCTGCTGAGGGCAATATGAAATGCAGATATCCTGCTATGGGGAAGGACCTTACCTTGTTCCACTTGGAGATGCTAAACTTGGTCCCTCTATCTTACTAGTCACTGTTCTTAAAATAGCACACTACCACCCCCCCCATGATCCTTCCTGATTAATAAAAGAGGGTCCACCATAGAGTTCAGGAAAGCCTGTCCACTAGAGACAGACTCCTCCAGGTCCCCCTTACATATTGAATACTGCTTCTGTCTCTTTCTTTTATTCCTCATCATTTTCCCTATAGTTTGGGGGATCTGAAGAGCTCCTGATAATTGGCGCCTGAACAGGGACTTGAGACTGAAGGGAGAGGCCTATCTGAGTGGAAAAGGAGTGGAACAGATGACGGAAGACTGCAGGATGACTTCAGAGATGGCCGTACAAAAGTAAGCAGTAGCGCCATGGAAAAGCTTTTCCAAACCAGGATAATGGGGCAGAATTTGTCAGTAAAGGAACAAAGATGATAAGTACAGTTGGTAAAGACAACACTGAAACAGTCTGGGACTCGGGTTAGTATCTACTTTCTTTCAAAAATGCTACAAGATATTACCAAATATACCCCATGGTTTCCAAAGAGGGGACCTTTTTTTGTTTTGTTTAGACAGAGTCTCACTATGTAGTCCAGGCTGGCCTCAAACTTTCAATGATCCTCCTGCCTCAGCTTCCCAAGTGCTGGGACTAGAGGTGTGAGCCACCACATGTGGCAGGCAGGGGTAAATTTAGATGCAGAAAATTGAAATAGAGTAGATAAAAGTCTAAGGAAAGCTCATGCCCGAGAAGAATAAATTACCCCAATATGTTTTCAACATGGAAATATATATTAGGACCCCTATGTGTCGTAGCAATTAATACAACTGCCACTTGCTTTCCCTGAAGAGGGAAAAGAGAAAGACCCTAAGGAGAAGAAACTCTCTCATGGCCCATACCTCTAGAGATCCTTAAGGCAGAGGCCATTCCTGTCTAAATATCAGTAACTTGTTCGGCAGGCTATCCTGGCAGCAGATCTTATCAGGCCCTGTTGTTTTCTTATGACCAGACAGGATCCCAACAACTGATATATAAATATAAATAAATAAATAAATAAATAAATAAATAAATAAAATATATATATATAAAGCTAAAAAAAATTAAAACAAAATATAATAAATAATAGCATTCAAAGACCTTTTTTTAGGGGGGGGGGACCAGGGATTGAACTTCGGATCTTGTGCTTGCAAGGCAGGCAGTGGCACTACTGAGCTAAATTCCTGGCCCTCAAAGACTTTTTATATTAGGCTTATTAAGATTTATTCTGGGGGTACTCAAGGTACTAGCACAGAGACTGCATGCTGTGTTAGAGTCCCAATGCCAGCTGCTATACACTGCATGCTCTGTGTGGCAGGGGAGAGAGACACTGGCCAGTCCCAGGATGGGTCAGCCCCATCTTGGGCCTAGATAACCAGGGTCAAGAAGGCTGAAACTGAGTCCTACCTGGCATAAGGGAGTTATAAAAAAAATTAAATTATAAATTTTAACTCGAGTTCGATCACTGGTACCAAAAAAAAAAAAAAAAAATTTAAAAGGCTATAAATTAGATACATTTTAAATATGAGAGGATTTTTATATGATAAAAGTTTTTATGTTGTTAGATTAAAAAATGACAAGGCTAAAAAGCTTGAATTTGTCAAAAAAATATGGAAGTAATTTATAAAAAAAAAATGTTTGACTGTTGGATAAGTCAATGGTATTCCTTCAAAAAGCTCTTTGCTGCTCAAAAATATATATGGTTGCTTGTTAATTTGATAGAGCTTCTCAGATTATTCCTAAAACAAAAGTACTTGAAAAAACAATTCACATCACAACAGAGTAAATATAAAATAAAAAGCATCAAAACCCACTCCATTAAAAAAAAAAAAAACAAGAAAAACAAAACAGGGGAGAATGGCTACCTCCACAAGTGTAATTAGATCTTGCTGTCTTCACTTAAAATTTTTCTGAACCTGCTTGTAGAAAATAAATATTCCATCAGAACTTCACTGGCACAAGGACAAATCTACAAGCATGCCCTAGGGACAAGTGCTGTAAAAGGATGTCCTAACTAAAAGGCAAAATGGGGCTGGGGATTTAGCTCAGTGGTTCCTCCACCTGCCTCGCAAGTGCAAGTTCCTGAGTTCAATCCCCAGTACCAAAATAAATAAAAGGTAAAATGGCCCAGTGCAGTTACTAACATGGGGATGAGGGTATGCTTGTATAAATGACAGAAAATAAACACCATTATGGGTAACATCTCTAAACATACAACCATAGAGAGAAAAGATTCCCAGATCGAAGGTAGGGTCTGCTGCCACCAGGCCCACCAGTACAAGCCTTATCACAGATACAATCTAACTTGCTTGCCTGCTTATCCACGAGTTTAGATGGCCCATTATAAAAAACAATTCCTGAAGTCTGGGTTCCAGTAAATCTATGGAACCATGAACTAACACCCCTGCTGTTCATTTGTTACAGTCTCTGATTGACCATCTTGTACAAAGGATAAAAAAGATGTTAGGACTGATTATTGCTAGAATTATCTCTTTGATATCGCTAATTTCTAGTCTTGCTGCATCCTCTGTAGCTCTTGCTCATTCTATACAAACTGCTTATTTTATAATTAGATTAAAACTACAGACAACACATAAATATACAATGCTCTATTAATACAAAATTACTATGGCAAATCAGTGTCCTGAGACCAGTGTTACATAGATGAGAGATCAAATAAAAAGTCTACAGTTACAACAGAGTCTCCAGTGTCATTTCAATACTATTTGGTATTATATAACTCTCATGTATAACCAATCTACCCATCTTTGAGAACATATAAAAAACATATACAGAGAGCTATACATAATAATATAACTACTGATCTAGAGGCATTACAAAAAGAGGTATTATCTATATCTCAGCAGACTCAAAATTATGATGAGCAAATTCAAGACTGAGATAAATTTGCTGATGCCTTTAATCAACTTAATCCACAAAAGTATCTCAAGGACTATTTTAGATTTTATACTAAATTGATTATATCAATTGGTGTGTGCCTTGTGCTAATTATCCCAGTCTAGCACAAGGGAAGAAAAACCCAATTTTAACGCCTAGACACCATTCAAACTTAAGTCAGTTCCAACTCTTTTTTTTTTTAGTTCTTTTATTGGTACATTTTAGGTATACAATTTGTTTACACTTATCATTGGGTGTTTGTACCTGTACATGATATATCCTGGTTCTTTTTTTTTTTTTTAACCCACTACCTGTGCACCCTTCACCCCCTCCACCCTTTCCTATTTACATAGATTTCATTTCCATTTTTTTTTCTTTTCTCATAGTTTTTCATTTCCCTCTTTTCCTTTCCCCTTCCCCTCCCTTCACTCCTTCGTCTTTAGACCTTTTCTCCTATTTCAAATTATCAATTATTCATTTTAATCATTTTAACTCTTATTTACACTACCAGTTTCTCACACTAGGGAAATTATTCGGTATTTACACACGTGTGTCCTATTTATTTCCCTTAAGAGTATGGCCTTGATATGCATCCATTTAGCTATAGATGACTCTAGTTTTTCGTTCTTTATGGCTGAGTAGTACTCCATTCTATAAAAAAAACCACATTTTCTTTATTGAGTTTCCAGTTGATGGGCACTTGGGCTGCTTCCAGGCTTTAGCTATTACAAACTGTGCCGCTATGAACATGGGTGCACATATATCACTGTGGTATGATTCTTTTAATTCTTTTGGGAAGATACCCAGCAGGGGAATAGCTGGGTCAAATGGGACCTCTAGTCCTAGTTCTTTGAGCTATCTCCATACTGACTTCCACAGTGGTTGCACCAGTCTGCACTCCCACCAGCAATGGAGAAGGGTTCCTTTCTCCCCACACACACCCCAGCATTTGTTATTGGTTGATTTCTTGATAGCAGCCATTCTTTCTGGGGTGAGGTGGAATCTCAGTGTTGTTTTCATCTGCATCTCTCGAATGACCAGTGATGTAGAACATTTTATCATATATTTGTTTGCTGCTTTTACTTTGTCTGAGAAATGTCTGTTCATTTCAGATGCCCATTTTTGAATTGGGTCTTTGAATTTGGGGGGTCTGATTTTTTTCAATTCTTTATATATTCTAGATAGTAGTCCTTTGTCTGAGGTACAGGTGCTAAAAAATTTTTCCCATATTGTAGGCTGTCTGTTAGCTCTGTTGATGGTTTCTTTTGCAGGGCAGAAGCTTTTTAAGATGAGATCCCAGTTGCTGATTCTTTCTGCTAGTTCCTATGCTGCTGAGGTTTTGTTCATGAAGTCTTTTCCTATGCCAATGTCTTTAAGAGTTCTACCTAACATATCTTCCAGCAAGTTTAGTGTTTCTGTCTTAATATTTAGATCTTTAATCCACTTTGATCTTAGTTTAGTGCCTGGCGATAGGCATGGGTCTAGTTTCAATCTTTGGCAGGTTGAAATCCAGTTTTTCCAACACCATTGATTAAATAGGCTGTCTTCCCTCCAATGAGGGTGGTTGGCTCCTTTGTCAAAGATGAGGTGGCTGAGCGTGTCTGGAGTTGTTTCTGCATCTTCTATTCTATTCCACTAACCCTAAGTTTCAACTCTTATAATTACAAAAATGAAAAAGAGGAATTGTTGGGGACCAGCCATGATATGTATAAGATTGGTGGGGGTAGATTACAGGCCCCCAGTCCTGAGGCCCCAGGCCCAGTGTTAACGTGCCTGGGGAACAGAGAAGTATGCTTCTGGGAAAGTCCTATGTGGGAAAGTCACAAACACAGTGCTCCAGAGGCAAGATAACATCCTGCTGAGGGCAATATGAAATGCAGATGTCCTGGTACGGGGAGGGACCTTACCTCGTTCCACTCTGAGACGCCAAACTTGGTCCCTATCTCACTATTCTAACCCTACTACAGTCACTGTTCCTAGAGTAACATGCTACCCCCTCCCTCTATGGTCCTTGCTGACTAATAAAAGAGGGTCCACCACAGAGTTCAGGAAAGCCTGCCCACGAGAGACAGACTCCTCCAAGTCCCTCTTACATATTGAATATTGCTTCTATCTCTTTCTTTTACTCCCTGTCATTCTCCCTACAGGTATTTGGGATCTGAAGAGCTCTCGATACAATTACTTGTGCTTCATACTTGTAGAAAAAATGTTAAGTGAAACTGCAGGATTGCTGGGGAAACAAAATTGTTCAAATCTCTCCTGGAAGTCAGTGGTTAGATACAAATGTGAACTAGAAAGGTCAAGATCCTATTGGATAGACCAAAACTAAGAAAAAAACAATGGATTTTCAAAATTCCTTCCTAAGATTTTTCAGCATGAGAGGAATGAGATCTAAAACTCAGGAAGGGCTAGGTATGGTGGCACA